CTATCACGCGTTGTTGGACGTTTGAGCTGTGGTGCGTTGTGCTGCTGCGAACATCCGTGCGCCTGTGTTTGTTCCTGGCCTCGTTTGCATTTCTCTTGTCACATACCTGGGAGTGTGCAGGTGGCTTTTACCCGGAGGCCAGGTGCCCTCCCCCTTGGGGCTCAGACTCTGCCCCCATGGTGAGCAGATCCTCTGCTCCTGGCTGGGGGTCCCAGCGATTCCCCAGAAAGGGTGGAAACGCCTGCTAGTCTTGACCCACCGAGACAGGGGAGTTGCTTTGTTGTTGTTCTGGATTTTTTTTTTTTAATTGTGGTGAAATCTATATAACGTTTGCCATCTTAACCATTTTCTTTTTTTTTTTTTTTTTTATCCTCACCCAAGGACATTTTTTTCCATTTTGTTCAGATAGAGTGGGAGGGAGAAAGAGGAAGAGAGAGAGAGAAACATCGATGTGAAAGGACACATCGAGTGGCTGCCACCCGCACGACCAACCAGGGCCGGGGACAAACTGCAACCGAGGTACGTGCACTCAGTGGGAACCGAACCCGGGTCTCTCTGGACCGCAGGCTGACACTGAGCCAAACCAGCCAGGGCTGTGGCTGTCTTCTCTGTCTTGGCAGCATGGTTTTTGGCTTAGCAGTGGTGGAAGAGGAAGAGAAGGAGGGTGATGGCCACTGGGAAGCCAATCAGAACATGCTAGTGGTCCTGGGTTGGGTTGTGGTGTGGGGCATGTGGGTGTCCGGGCTCCGTGGGTATGAGATCACCAGGAGTTTCTTTGCTCACAAGCTCCAGTAGGTCACTGAGGTGAGACCACACAGAGGGGTCTTTGCTGAAGACAGCATAGCATCTGTAGGTCCCTGCCTGTGTGGAGGTGACATGGTCCAGGTGGAAGGTGGTCTGATGCCCATTGTCCTGGGTGTGGAGCTTTGTCTCTGGGTGGAGGAAAGTGCATCTTCTTTGGTGAGAAGAAATACAGGAAATCTGACTTTGATTCTTTAGTTCCTGGCCCTTTGTGGACGTACCTGCCGCATGTGAGGTACATTTACAAAGTTGTTTTTGTTTTTTGTTTTCAATCTTCAAAACTGCCCAGGGACACACAGACCATCACCCCTGCTTACAGGGCTGGTGAGTGACACAGCAGGGTGTGAGCCCTGGTCTGAGCCATTCCAATGGTGTGCTCTTTGTTGCTCTCTGCTCCTTCCTGTTCTTGCGTTTCCTAAACGTAGCTGAGCCACTGCCGCTGTTTCCAGCCAGGTGCTGGAGGCCTGGTCCCCACAGCAGGCACTAGCCGGCCTTCACTGGGAGCTCACAGAAGGTCAGGGCTGCATGGACATGCATGTAGTGGCTTGATTCTGCAAAAGCATGACCAGGTAGACACCATCGTCCCCATTTTGCAGCTGAGGACATTACAGTCACGCAAACTGAGACTCGTGGCTGAGAGCATGTACCCAGTCACCTGTCCAGTGGAACCAACCACATGTGCATTTCCAGGAGGGCCCTGATCTGATCGACAGATGCTCAGGGAGCAGCTCTGGTGTACCAGACACTGGCTCCACCTTCCGGAGTGGCTGAATTGTGAGCAGAAAAAGGCAATTAAGTGATAATCACTTGTTGGTGATTGTGCAGGTGGCATCAAGGAGAGGTCAGGATGCTGAGAGGGTAGAGCAGGTTGACTAATCTGGTCTGGGAAGATGTCAAGACAGAATAATCCATCTATCTCAAAAGCAGAGTTTCTCACCAGGCCGCTCCTTGTAGTGGGGCGCTGTCCTGTGCACTGTGGGGTGCTTGGAAGAATGTCTGCCTCTACAGACCAGATGACAGTAACACCCTCACCCCCCAGTTATGATAATCAAACATGTGTCCAGTCATTGCCAAAGTCTCCTGGGGACAGATCGCTCCTGGCTGACTTTAGAGTATGGTGTGGCAGCCACGACAATGTGCATGGGACTCCTTCAGGGTCACTAGAGAGGCCCATTTCTGGGGGACGCAGGATTCCTTCAATGGACAGCATTGTGTCTCATGGGCATAGGAAGCAGGTTCTTTGCTAGGTGTGCTGCTGCCCCAACAAGACCAGGATTCTGTAAAGGAGAGCAGGGGACGGACATGAGTGGGGTCTGCTGAAGCCTTATTGAAGACTGTTGGGTTGTCCTCCTGAGAGCGACTGGAGCCTCTCCAAGTGCTTCAAGCATGGGTGTGTGTGTGTGTGTGTGTGTGTGTGTGTGTGTGTATGAGAGAGAAATAGAGGTGGGGGGAGGGAGAGGGAGGACTGGATGTATGCTTTCCAGGGTCACTCGGGATGCTGTACAAAAAATGAATCAGGTATGGTCATAACCAGAAAGAAATGGCAAGACCAAGACCAGCCATGGGGCCAGGTCCTAAAACCCCAGGATGCGTCCGTCTGTGGTGTGAGCAGGAACTGAGCACTTTATTTGGTACCAAGGCACCAGCCCTTGAGAACAGAATTTATATTCTGTGTCATGCTATGAGACACACTTTTCTTAAAAGTGAATGACATACAGTGATCGTAACGGTGACTTAAGGAAAGCTCAAGATGATGGAGGAGCCTGTTGAATGACCTGTGTAATCACTGTGTGTGTCCTGGTCACTGGCCTAAGTGAGGAGCATCCCTGCGGATGGACGTGGTTAGCAGAACATTTCTAAGCAAGTCAGACATTTGGGAGATGCCCTGTGTGTGTTGGGGGAGGGGGTGATTTGGCAAGAAGGAAAAGAGGAATTTGCCACTTCTGTTCCAGCTGAAGGAAGAGGGAAGAGGTTAGCCCATGTCTTTCTTCCCTTCCTCCTTCCCAGTGCCCAACACCCTGGTGAAAAAGAAAAAAGATGATTATCATGTCCTGGGTATAGGGATACTCAGAATAATTTTGCAAAAACACTTCATATTTTCCTGATTCTGAGGTCTCCTCTGTGTTATAGCTTCCCATGCCCTCCAGGTATTTCATGTGGCTTCTTCCCAGGCCTGTCAGTCACTCAAAGGACTCATAAAACAGGCTGTGATACCACCTGTCGCCATCAGGGGGCACTCTCTAAAACATGCCTCATGCTTGACGGAGAATCCCAGAAATTCAAGGTCCAGGGCTCTAAATATGTAAATTGTTGCCCTGCTCTGTCAGCTTTGCAAGTTCCAATCTTAAATAAGATTGCTTAAGTATCATAGCCAATGAGGTTTATCCGAGGAGCGATCATTACTAAAAAGATTGCTTAAAAAACAGACCCGTCAATATTAGCCAACAATTGGAAACAACCCAAATGTCTAGCAACAGCAGAACCTTATCTGCTGGGCATACGTTCCAAGACCCTCAGGGGATGCCTGAAACCTTAGATAGTACCAGACCCTTCGTATATACTATGTTTTTATCCTGGTACATACATACCTGTTCACTTACAGGAAGCACTTTATGACGTTTTGTTTGTTTGTTTGTTTGCATATCTGAATTGCCAGTATCACTACTCTGGTGCTTTGGGGCTATTAAGTAAAATAAGGATTACTTGAACACAAGCACTGCAATACAGTGACAGTCGATCAGATCAATGATAGCTGTGAGTGAGATCAGATCCGTGAGTGGGGGGCATACACGGCGTGGATACACTGCACAGAGGGGTGACTCACATTCCGCGCAGGATTGAGTGGGTTGGTGCGAGATTTCATCACACCACTCAGAACAGCGAGCAACTAGAAATTATAAATAGTTTTCTTTTTTTCTTTCTTTTTTATTTTTTTAATCCTCACTCGAGGACTTTTTGTTTTTTGTTCAGATAGAGTGGGAGGGAGGGAGAGGAAGAGAGAGAGAGAGAAACATCAATGTGAAAGGGACACATCGAGTGGTTGCCACCCCCATGACCCAACCTGGACTGGGGACAAACTGCAACCGAGGTACATGCCCTTAGCAGGAACCAAACCTGGGTCTCTCTGGACCGCAGGCCGACGCCCTAACTGCTGAGCCAAACCGGTCAGGGCATAAATCGTTTCTTTTTTTTTTTTTTTTTTTTTATCCTCACCCAAGGATATTTTTCCATTTTTTGTACAGATAGAGTGGGAGGGAGAGAGAGGAAGGGAGAGAGAGTGAGAAACATCGATGTGAAGGGACACATCGAGTGGCTGCCACCCGCACGACCAACCAGGGCCGGGGACAAACTGCAACCGAAGTACGTGCCCCTAGCGGGAACCGAACCCGGGTCTCTCCGGACCGCAGGCCGACGCTCTAACCGCTGAGCCAAACCGGCCAGGGCATAAATCGTTTCTTTCTGAACTTTTCTGTTTACTCTTTTCGGACCACGGTTAAAACCACGGATAAATGAAACTATGGATGGGAGGAGTTGCTATGCTTAGTGGAATACTGTGCAACCCTGAGAATTAGCCAACCATTGCTGCATGACTCTCACTGGCAACACTGAATGAAAGAAACCAGATGTGAGAGTATGTGTTACATGTGACCATTTATATAAAGTTCATACCCTGGCAAAACTAGCCTATGGTGACAGAGATCACGATGGCCATTGCCCTCCGGGGGCTTAGGTAGCACGCAGGAGCTCTGGGGGCAGTAGTATCTGTTTCTTGATTTGGAGCCTGGTTTTATGGACCAGTTTGTGAGATTCGATCTGTACAGTTAAGATTTGCGCACTTTCTTTGTGTATATTATACTTTTAAAAGATGCGTCAGGCCCTGGCTCAGCAGTTGAGCATCAGTCCTCAGACAGAGGGGTCTCGGGTTTGACTCCCGGTCAAGGGCACATGCCTGGGTTGCAGGGTCAATCTGGCCCCAGTCTGGGTCATGCGGGAGGCTACTGATTCATTTCATGTGTTTCTCTCACATCAATATTTCTCTCTCCCCCCCCCTTCTACCCCCTTCCCCCTCTCCCTTCCAAATCAATCTAAAAAAAATCAATGAATAAATATCCTTGGGTGAGGATTAACAACAAGAAAATATACATCAGTATAAAACCTCAACTTGCTTAACAGCAATCTGCTTTTTTTTTTTTTTGCAGTGCGATGAACAATATGAATTGAAAGCAATTGAAAAAGAGAAGACAGTGATCGCTCTGACACCCAGGGAGGCCAGCAAATACAGCAAAGTGGAGTTGGCCAAAGCATTTTACGTAAGAACTGGATTGGCGTGTGATGCCGGTTGCGGGCAAGTTTTCAGATGAAGAAGAGAGGAACCCAGAATCCTGAAAGCCGCTTTAGAATTCAGTGCTATAATACCTTTTTATTGTCATTGTTCAAAAAAACAAAAATACTATTGAAGTTGAACTGTTCTGATGTCCCCTGTGGAATATTGTCAGCACTGACGTCAACAGAACTAACCCTTGTGAGGCCCTCACCAGGGGGTCTTCACCCCACCCCCCCCCCAGACACTCAGTTACATGTTGCTCTTGGTCAGAGACACGGACAGGCTGTACCCCACGCAGCTGCACAGCGGCACAGCCAGAGGTGGATCCAGGAGTTTTGACATCGAAGCTCAAACTCTTAACCATCCCCTAGTCACACCCTTCACCTTTTATCATCCCTGGTGTTGCCAGTTCCAATAACCCAATTCTAGTGTTTCTCGAGTGAATATGAATTATTGAATTCCTGGCCAGTGCAAAACTGAAAAAAACAAAACAAAGCACACACACGCTCACACACACACACACACACACACACACCCCACCCCCACTCCATGAAGCTCTCCTCTGAGGCTGAAGGATGTTGCTTGCTTCATGTTTTTAATCATCTTGACGGAGAAAACATAATGTTGTGTTTGTATGTTCATTCCTAACCCACCACACTTGGGGAAAGCATATAAAAATTCACTAATAACAGGGTACACGCCACAGTTTCAAGGAAGTTGGCTGTCAGTGTTTCGTGCCCATCTTTCCTTGAGAATAATTCAGAAGTCTGTTTAGATTCAAGTCCTGCTTGTTACTTTTCTTTCCTTGCCTAGACCTTTTACCCTCCCTTGAAAATGAGCTTGATTTCTTTCTCTATTGAAAGGAATCTGGAAATCAACTTGGATTTTTCTGTCACCTCTGCCACCTGGCAGAGCAGTCTTGTCAACTTTTTTAAAAACAAGGATACTTTTGTTGCAACCAAAACACCAAAGTTTCCTGACATAATTACTGACTCAGATGAGCTACTTGAATGTTACTTTGTGTAAAGAGCTTGACATTGTGGCAGGCACAGTGTGTGCCCAATATAATAATTTTAGCTAGTATTGTATGTAGGGACAGGCCTTCTTTCTGTTTTTGTTTTTCTTTTTTTTTTTTAATTTTTACTTTTTATCCTCACCCAAGGACATTTTTGCATCTATCTTCAGATAGAGCGGGAGGGAGAGAGGGGGAAAGAGAAAGAGAGAAACATCGATGTGAGAGAGACACATTGACTGGTCGCCACCCACAGGACCCCAACCAGGGCCGGGGACAAACTGCAACCGAAGTACGTGCCCTTAGCGGGAACCGAACCCGGGTCTCTCCGGACCGCAGGCCGACGCTCTAACCGCTGAGCCAAACTGGCCAATTCTCATTTTATTTTTAACTGTGGTGAAATGCACAACATAAAATTGACCATTGTAAGCATCTGCAAGTGTGCAGTTCGATAGTGATGGGTACGTGCACCCTTTGGTACCCACTCTCCAGAACTCAATCATCTTACAAAACTTGACACCCAGCAGCCAGTAACTCACATTCCTGCTGCTTCACCTTTGGGCTGTTGAGAATAGAGCTGCTACGCACCCACGTCACAGACTCTCGTCCAGATTCCTTTCAGTGCTTTCAGTATATCTACACCGAGATGTGAAATTGGGGATCGTGTGGTAGTTCTGTTTTAATATTTTGAGGAAACTGCATACCATTTTTGTTTTTAATTTTTTTTTCTTTATTGATTTTAGAGAAAGAGGAAGGGAGAGGGGGAGAGAGACAGAAACATCAACGAGAGAGAACATCGATTGGCCGCCTCCTACATGCACCCCGCTGGGGATCAGGCCCACAACCTGGGCATGTGCCCTGACCGGGAATCGAACTGGCAACCTCTTGGTGCATGGGTTGATGCTCAACCACTGAGCCACACCGGCCGGGTTCCATACCCTCTTTTACATGGCTGTACCATTTGACATTCCCAAGGCCTATTTTCTTCGAGAAGAAACTCTCTCCATTTCCTGCGACAATGGCACTTGTTGACATTTGGGCCCGGGTTTGCTTTTTCGTGCTATCATTGTAGGGCAGGAGTTTGATCTAATCGAATAAGAATCGGACTGTGGGGTTTTCCTTCTCTCTCTCTGTCCCTATGTGCTTGTGGTCTCTGAACGAGTCCCCTCTCCTGCTGGAGCAGCCCATGTTCCTCGTCCGTCCTGCAGGCGGCGGGCTTCCAGCGTGGGGGTTCTGTGGCTTGGGCTCCGTGGTGCTGACTGGTCCTGAGCTTGCGCTTGACTGCATCCCTCTAGGTGGACTTTGAGAAAGGGCTGTCGGAGTTCTCGGTGAAACAGCGCAGGCTGGTGCACGGCTGGAACGAGTTCGTCACTGAGGAGAGTGAGTCCGTGTGGAAGAGGTACCTCCAACAGGTAGGACGGTCGGCGTCACTCCCTGTGTGTGACCCGGGGAGGGCGGGCAGTCACTCATTCTCTAAGTATTCACTGAGGGTGTCCTTGGAGCAGTCCCAGGCCTGGGCGGCTGTACTACAAAGGTAGAAAAGGCTCCCCTGCCTTCAGGCTGCTCTCAGCCAGCAGGAGGGACGGCCACGTGTACATCACTGACCACCCAGGCCGCCGCGGTCAGGGGAAGTGGTTACACTCACCAAGGGTTTTCCACCTGCTAGGCGCCATGCTAACTGAGTAAGTGAAAAAGTAAACATTAACTTACTTTATCTTCCTCCTGATCTTCACTCTGAGATGAGAAGGGTGAAAACAGAGAAATTGAACTATTTCTCCAAGCTGTGTAGACTTAGCAAACTGAGACACACAATGTCCCTTTAAATTTGCATTTTTGATAGATAAACAAACAAAAAAACAACGTTTCAGTATAAATAGATCCCAAATGTTCCATGGGACCTACTTCTATGAAGAACAAGAAAAAAAGTTTTTTGTGTATCTGAAATTCAGATTTTACTGGGTGTACTGTTGTTTATCTGGCCACTGGAGCCCAAGACCACACAGCTGTAAGTGACAATGCTGGACAGGAAGCCAAGTGTCTGGCTCTGGGGCCCCAGCCCTTCTTCACTGCTGCCTCTGGTGCAGGCAGGGTGCTGAATGCAGGGTGCACACACCAAATGCCTGGAAACCACCGGGAAGAGGAAAGAAAGTTCTGAAATAGACATGGCTTCAAGTGTCAGTCTGGAAGTTAACACCCCATCACCAGCTCAGAAAGCCACAGTTAACAGGCAGAATTTCCTAGATGCCTGAAGACATTCAGATTGCCTTGGTTTCCCTTCCCTGGCCTTCTGCACCCCATTTCCCATCCCTGACACCTGCCTCTCCAGTCTCTGGGCCCCAGGGCTATCCAGGCTTCACCTGCCTTCTATTGGCTCAGCATTTAAAGCTTTCTTGATTGGTTGGTTCAGGGACCAATCACAACACTCCTTGCAGCATCCTCACCGGCCACTGTCCTCCAGTCCCCACCCTGCTCATTGATTGGTTCTCAGTGCACTGGGGGTGTCATCCACTGAGGCATGTTTGCAGCAAAGTAGTCTTCTGGATGTAGGTGGCTCTGGCTAGCTCAAAGCTTCCTGGAACCCCGATGTTGGAAGGAGACAGTGGAGGTTCCTGGAAATTGGAGTTCAGGGAAGGAGGCTGACATGGTGGCTGTGGGGCAAATTTTCCTCCTACAGCTTGTCCTCAGTTCTGCCCTGCCTGCCCCTTCCACTAGGAGTCCTCCGACCCCCACCAGTTCCCCAGCCATCCTCCTTCCTGCCTCTGCCTGTCAACAAGGGTTCTCCTCCAGCCTCTAGCCAGGGCCTTTCCAGAAATAAACATCGCTCCACTTTCTAGGAGTGGGGAACCTGTTACTCATCTTAACGTTGTCAGTTCAGGGGTCCATCTGTGGGGATCTTTGCAGGATTGGGAGGCAGCTCGTGATGGCTATGTTCCATCCACGCCCCCTTGGCGAGTACCGAAAGTCCATCTGTACTCACTTATTCATTCTTTACATTCGCTGAGCACCTGCCATGTGCCAGGCATGTGCCCCTGCTGTCTGTCTCCTCCAGTAACGGGGAACTCTCTACTTTGCAAGGTAGCCCCACTTCTCCATCTCAGGTAGAAATACCATTAGGAATTCTACCTGAGCATGGCCCAAGACAAGCGGCCTGGAATCATAGTGCAAAGGTATATTATTAGAGTCAGGCTGTCAAGGTTCAAATCCCACTTTCTAGCCTGACTTTGAGCAAGTTATTGAACCTCCTTGAGCCTCAACTTTCCTCATCTAGAAAATGGGATTCACAAACATTGCTCTGAGTTTTCCATAGGAAGAAGCTTAGCACACATTAAGGTGCTCAATAAAGGTTGTCCCACCCCCCATCCCGTATCTATAAATTGGCCCTGATTGGAGCGTAGCAGTTGAATGGAGTAACAAGGGATGGAGTCTGACCGACATGCATCCTTGGGAAATTCAGTGTCTTTCAGAGCCTCAGGTCGCTCACGTATCAAGCAGGAATAATAACAGGTACCTGTGCCCAGTAAATGTTGGTTGTTTTTATTGTCACTGTTTCTCCAGTGTAGCACAGGTTCCCCTGCACAGTAAGGTTTCAACAGACCCCTTGCTGCCTGTCGCCCTGTATAGGTGGGCTTGGGGGTCCACAAGCCAGGAAGAGTCCGATTTCCCATGGCCAGAGGCAGCCCTAGTGGCACGTGGTGTGTTCTTCCCTTTGGGTCTATCTCCTGTCTGCGGCCTGAGCCCCAGGAAGCCAATGGAAATGCAGTGGCGGCATGTCAGGTGGAGGAGAACGTTGGATGGCGGTGGTCTTTCTCCCCGGCCCTTTGATCACCGCAGTCGTTGGCTTGGAAGCCTGGCTCTGAGGAAGGAGTTGTGTCACACACGCCGCTGCGCGGTAAGAAGCCCAGAGAAGAGCCCACCCACCCTGCTTTCATCTTTCAGTTTAAGAACCCCCTGATCCTGCTGCTGCTGGGCTCTGCCTTGGTGAGCATCGTCACGAAGAATTACGAGGACGCCATCAGTATCACCATGGTGAGTGCCCCACACCGGGAGCAGCACCCACCCCCGACCCAGCTGCCCAGGGGCTTGCGGAATGTTTGCTTATTTATTATGCAAAGAAAAAAAGAGTTTGGCAGTAGAGGAAAGAAGTGGAAAAACGGAGCAGAAAGAAAGGAAAGCAACTCCACATTTTTCTTGCCCGCATATAGAGGTGTCCTGGTTTATTTGGCCATTGTGCTCTTGATGGATAGACACACAGGTGGCTTCTGTCCTGTGCTGCTGGGAACACTGTGGTGATGAGTTCCTCTCCCATGACCTGGGATGGGATTGCTCAATCCTGGCTGTGCACATGGTACAAAGAGCCATTGTTTGTAATCTGTTAGCTAGAGAGAAGCACTGAGCACCTTAAAAATATATATATTTACACACACACACATATTTAGGTGAAAAATCCATCCTTCTAAAGTGAACAATTCAGTGGCATTTAGTACATTCACAATGTTGTACAACCACCGCCTCTTCTTAGTTCTAAAATGTTTTCGTTGCCCTAAAAGGAAACCCCACAGTCATTGAACAGTCGCTCCCCACCCCGCTCCTCCGCTCCCAACAACCTCTCTGCTCTCTGTCTCTGGATTTGCCAGTTCTGGATATTTTATATAAACAGAATCACACAATATGTGACCTCTCATGGCTGGCTTCTACCAAACGCCTTCTGATGGATATCATTCTGGTTTCCTTCTATCTGTCAAGTGCTCTTTTAAAATACAAAAATGGACTCTTTCTACATAATGAAACCTGCTGCTTCTGGTCAACGGGCCGAGGTGAGATCCGCATCATCTGATGTGGAGTGGTGTTTACAATATGTTGTTGAGTGAAAAGGCAGTCTGGGAAAGTGTCTCTGGACTATAGGATCCCGTGTTAAAGGGGTGTCTGTGCAGAAAAATCTGGAGGGCTACTACCCCCAAACCCAACTTCTGGTGGTGGGATTTGCGGTGATTACTTTTTTCTTTCTTTCTTTCTTCCTTTCTTCCTTTCTCTCTCTTTCTTTCTTTCTTGCTTGCTTGCTTGCTTATCTCTTTTCTAAGTTTCTGCACCATACACTTATTTTGCAAGAAAAAGGGGGACTCTATCTATTTTGAAAGACAGTGCCCCCCTCCTTCCCTCCCATGGACTCACCCACTGGCTGAGCAGCCGGGTGTTAACGCCCCTCCCATTTCCTCCCCAGGCCGTGGTGATCGTGGTCAGTGTCGCCTTCATCCAGGTGTGTACTTATTTCTTGAGGTCCCGGTTGGGGTGACCCTGGCATGGCAGGGACTTGGTGGAATTCCCACTTTTTAACAGCATGTTTGATGTGCTTCCTGCCAGGAGTACAGGTCGGAGAAGTCTCTGGAAGAGCTGACCAAGCTGGTCCCTCCTGAATGTAACTGGTAAGTCAGAGGCCGTCTGGGACTTTCTGGTCCCGCAGAGGAGCCAGTGGGCCAGTAGTGCGTTGGGCAATTTGGCATTTGTATCCTTTGTAGCGTGATACAGGAGAACCATGGCCTACTGAGGTTCTGGCCTGGCCTCCATCCTGCCGATGTATTACTTGTGTCCTTGGGCTTGTCGTCCAAATGTGGCCGGGGCAACTGAGGAATGGAACCCTTCATCTTAATTTCATTTGACTTTAAAACAGCCATTTGGGGTGAGTAGCCACCGCTCTGGACAGCTCAGGCCGGGAGCGCTTGAAAAGCCCACTGCCCTCGGCAGAGGGCGCCAGCAGACACGGAAGGGGCCTGTTGTAGGCCTGGCTTTTTCTTCATTTCATGTTTAGTATGCTGTCAATCCGTACATGGACTCCTCTTGTAAAAATGAAATGATTTCAGAGAAGGTCAGAGTTTGCCACCTCATCCCTGCCAGGACAGGTGGCAGTCATGTCAGGGTCATGGTCCTGTGTCTTTCCCAAACATGCACAGCTGCTCAAATGAACATAATTATAAGCATCGCATGATCTGAGGTGCTTTGGAAGGACTCCAACGTACGGTAACTATTTTCTGAAGGATAATTCTTGGGAGAGAACCTTAGCATATATTCGGGTATGTGTTGGCACCATTGAGCCACAGAGTGGCAGATAGAAAGAGACCCCCCGCGCAAGGAATCAGCAGGCATGCATGTGTGCATATGTGTGTGTAACATAGGCAGAGAATGGTGTGTGTGTGTGTGTGTGAGAGTGTGTGAGTGACAGGCAGAGAATAGTGAATACCAAAATAGAGACAAAAAGGATAATGAGGAGCCACAAGAGAGGATCAGTCGATTCTAGAAAGGTCATCGGGGCAGTAAACATATCTGGGCTTAATAATGGGAGGAGCAAGGCTGTCAGAAATCCAGGTGTGTGATGTGTGCCATGATCTTATAAGCAAAGGGAAGCGTAAATGATTTATGTGGTTTGATGATCCAATCTTAAGTTTAAATATCAAGTCTTGGCCTTTTAGATGAATAGATACATTATTGATGTCCTCAGAAGTTTTGCTTCTAAAAGGCATTTTATTTTCAAGAACAGCGGTGGCAGGCAGCCCAGTAGAGTTGAAAGAACATTGCAGATACACAGCCTCGCGCTCTGATTCTCCAAGGCCTGTTTCACAGATTAGGAGAAACACCTTCCTGCAGACTCTTCCTGCATTCCCTCCATCCTTGTGCAGTCGTTAACTATTTATTGAGCACCTACTGTGTGCTGGGAGAAATAGTGCTGGGGTTGTCATCGGTGAACAAGATTTTGAAATGCAGCAGCTGCATTGAAGCCCAAAAGACCCCCTAACATCCAAAGCCACACAGAAATCAAAACAAACAAAACCCACAGATTCAATAGTGACTGGTGGAGGAATGGGGACAACTTTAAATAGCTGGCTATCAGGCCACCCTGATCTGACATTTAAGTTGAGGCCTGAGAAAGAGAAGGAGCCAGCCATGGGAAGACTTGAGGGAACAGCAGGCGTAATCGGATAGGTACTGCTGGCTACAAAGAACAGAAAACTCAGCTACACAAACTACAAGGAGATTGTGTTGACTTATGGGAAGGGATGGGGGTGGGGGACAGTGAGGTTAATCAATTCAAGATGGCACCAAGGATCTGGTCTTTTTGTTTCTTTACTCTGCCATCTTCAGCTTGTTGACTTTGTTCTCTAGTCAGTTCCCATCATGGTCCCAAGGTGGCTGCCACAGCTCCAGCAATCACAAGCAAACATGAAAGGTCAAACAGAAGGCTGTGTGTGTGTATTTACAGATACGTGAGCCCCATCAAATGTCTACTCATGTCTCATAGGCCAGTCTTACAGAATGTACCTGTGCCTAAGCCAATTGTGGGTAGGAGGTGGGATCACTTCAATGATCTCAGCCATTCAGGGCCCGTCCCGAGAGTACACAGTTGTGGGGGAAAGGGTGGATACCTGAACAAGATTGAATTCTGTTACCAAGGAAGAGGGGCCGGCTGATGTGAGGAAGGAGCAGCAGCAGTGAGGAAGGGGCAGGTCCAGGTCAAGAGGGCCGTAGCAGGGCTTTTGGGTTTGATTCCAAGGTCATCGGAAAGCTGTTGGAGGGTTGGAAGCAAGAGGGAGTTCTGGTCTGATTTGTGTTTGAAGAGCTGTCTGCTGTGTGCAGAATTGAAGGAGGCCAGAGGGGAGGCAGGAGGCCAGCTGGGAGGCCACTGCAGCATCCAGGGGCGGTGTGGGGTGGGATCCCAGCTGGGCCTGTGCACAGGAGCACGTCTGTTGTCTAAAGGTTGATGGCCAAGGGGAATGGTCATGGCCCTGTGGCAAGGTGATCCTGGGCTTCTTGGATGCTGAAGATGCTCCTCCCAGCACCAACGAGGCTCTGCCATCCCTGAGTTCTCAAGACGGGCTCTTCACAACGCAGTGGTGTCTTCTCTGAAGATACAAGCTACTGGTTCCATTAAAGAAGCTTTACAACCACTGACCTAAACCCGCAGAGGTTTCTGGAGGCCTTGTGGCCCAGCCTTTTCTCGGCAGGGTCAACAGTGAAAGCCCCACTTTTCAGATGAGGACCAGGGTCTCCCAGAAACCACACACGTTGCCCAAAGCTCTTGAAAGATATATGGATTTTAAAAATAGTAATACCACAAAGGCACAAAGGTTTGTCTATAACTGAAAGAGAAAAGTGTGTTTCTGTCATCTTTGTTCAAATGTATCAGAGTGCATAAAAATGGGATGTCAATGTGGGTGCTTTTGCTTTTTACCGTTTCAAATGCAGCATAAGAGATGGAAAACTCCAGCATCTGTTGGCACGAGACCTGGTTCCCGGAGACATCGTGTCTCTCTCGATGGGAGACCGGATCCCCGCAGACATTCGTCTCACTGAGGTAAGGGGGTCCCCAGACCCTGGTCCATGGGATATGCAGACACTTAGCTTATTGGAGTCAGGCACTCTCTCATTCACACACACACACACACACACACACACACACACACACCTGTGCACACACATCCACATGCAACAAAGAAGTCAGGGAGTCAGCAAACAAGCTCCTTTTAAGCTCAGAGCTCCTCAAATTGTATTTCATAAATTAATGTAACTACCAGCCTAACCGTTGTTGGTCGTGCCACCCGCTAGTGTAACGCAGACCTCAGCCGCAGATTGAACCAGTGTGGGGCTACGGAATGAGGCAAGCGTTCCTCCTAGAGACAGCTGTGCTGAAGTCCGAAATAAGCGGTATCGAGCAGCTTGGGGCTGAGAAGGGAGCCAGAACCAGCAAAGACTTGAAACGTAGCACCTGCTTTTACAGCTGCTCCGTTTGGGGACATGGGGCGCGGGCAAGCTGTTTTCCCAACTCTTGTGGGTGCCAGGGTGCCACAGCGTCACGGAACAATACCCGAGGCTCTGAGATAACCCCAGCAAAGGTTCAGTCAAGTTCACCGGGATCTGTTGATGGGAGTAATCGGTTTTGATTCTTTCCAAGAATACTTAAGAATTGTTCAAAGCTTTTTTTCTTTTAACTATGTTTCTATTTATTTTAGAGAGAGAGGAAGGGAGAGGGAGAGAGAAATAGGAACATGGACGAGAGAGAAATAGCAACATGGATTGGCTGCCTCCTGCACACCCCCGGTTGGGGATCGAGCCCGAAACCCTGGCATGTGCCCTGACCGGGAATCGAACCAGTGACCTCTTGGTGCATGGGACAGCGCCCAACGACTGAGCCACACCGGCCGGGCATTGTTCAAAGCTTTTAGTGATAAAGGATGAAGCACAGGTTATCTGCCTGATTTATTTATTTTTTCAGGGACTGTATGGTTAATAGCATGTTGTTAAAGGGTGCAAGGAGGGCAGGGCATGCAGAGAGGAGAAGAGGCCAGGAGCCAACCCCAGGGCCCTGCGTTTACCATTCTGGCCAGGCTTGAAGCTGAGGCAGGGGCCGGGGGGGGGGGGGCAGGCAGGCTCTCCCACCCCTCTGCCCTGATTTTCGGATCTCCAGGCAGGGCAGCGTGGGGGCATTGTCCTTCAGGCTCATGCTGGTGCTCCTTCCCGCCAGGATGGAGTCCCTACTATCTGCCCCTCCCTGTGCCAGCATTCAGGATGCAGCCTGGGGCACTTGGACCCCACTGGAGGAACCGCTGTCCCCAGAGAAGGCTGGGGAAGCCAGTCTGACATTGCTCTGCCTCCATCGTGAGGATCCCAGAGGTTCAGGGTTGGTCCTGATCTGGGCAGCCCAGCGGATAAGGAGGACACCGCCACAGGTGCTGTGGAGAGGCAGTACCCTAAGTGGTTAGTGCCCTGAGGCTGGGTGTTAGCCTGGGTTTGAACCTGGCGCCTATCATTCACAAGCTGTGTGACCTGCAGCAAGTTACTTAACCTCTCTGTGCCTCAGGTTCCTCATCTGTAAAATACAGGGGGGGTGAAAATGTACAAATGGTGGTTGTAAGGATTAAACGATTTCATAGATACGAAGTGCTCAGAATGGTGCCTGGCACCAGTGAGTGATGGGCACGTGTTGGAAGTCAGAGGGCCTGGGTTTCAAATCCCCACCCAGCACCTCCCAGCGTGTGACTTTGAGGGAGGGATTGGCTGCCCTGAGCCGTGGTTTCCTCGTCTATCAAAGGGGATAGTGCAGGGTTATCGCGAAGAAGAAACCAGCTGAGACCTGCAGCATGTTCGGCACGATGCCTGATGTGGGTTAGCAGTGACCGAGTATTAGCTACTGATTTTGTTGTTTATCATTACTGGTCTCTGCAACAGTTCTTTGAAACAATTTTTTTTTTTAAATAGTTTGTTGATTTTTAGAGAGAGAGGAAGAGAGAAGAGAGAAACATCGATGTGAGAGCCAACCATCGATTGGCCTCCTCCTGCAAGCCTCCTACACTGGGGATTAAGCCCGCAACCTGGGCATGTGCCTTGACTGGGAATCGAACCAGCAACCTCTTGGTGTATGGGATGATGCCCAACCAACTGAGCCACACCGGCCAGGGCTGAAATAATTTTTTTAAACTCCAAATAATATCTTTACAACTTAACTGGTTTTCTTCCTGCCCTGCTTTATGAATCAAATTGTACCTGGTTGCTGTCACCACAAGGGTTTAACCAGTGACTGGCTGCGAGCACTCTACGGATGTCCTTTTTGGTATTTTGCAACCCCATTGGACAATCAAAACTTTGTTTATTCACAGTGCAATAGTTTTATCAGCATTTAAGCTCTGAGATCCAGGAGAGCTTATATATATTTTGAAGCCAGGAAACAGCAGGTTCAAGAATGTTCCTAAAATAAGCAACCCAAATGCTAGCCCTTTTGGCATAGTGGGGGGTCACAGGACATTATTTTTTCTTCCCACGGTTAAAACAAAGGCCGAGGCCCCTGGGAAGGGCCGACCGGGGCAGCTAGTCAGCCAGCAGAGCTGGGCCGCTGCTCTTTCTTTATTCTTCCCATTTCGAAATGAAAAGGGAATTGAATGGGGTTTGTTAGGGCTCCCCGTAATGCTTTGTCTCGGGGGTAGGAGCACCTGCCAGGGAAGAGCCTCTGTCTGCACCTGAGCAGGAAGTGACAGGAAGCTCCTGAGCCCTCAGCCTGGAGCTCTTGTTCCCTGTCTTCAGGCTGAGCCACCCCCTTGGTGGCCACTGGTATTGTGTGGTTCTCAACGAATATTTCTTGAGCACCTGCTATGTGCAGGAGCTGTACAGAGTGCTGAGGAGACAGGGTACTGAGTGGAGAAAATAGACCTGATCCCTGTGCTCATGGGTTTATCGTCCAGACTGACAGCAGACAGACAAACCACATCTACTCATGACAGGTGACTGTTCAGTGACTGCTGGGGGAACTTGAGGGAAAAGGACAGCAAATTCTGGATTTCCCAACCAGAACAGACTTGCCTGGCCTAATGCAGTCACCGAGGGCTTCCTGGAGGCAGTGGCTTTTGAGCCAACCTAGAATGGACACAAATCAGATATTTTAGACAGAGGAAGCCCAAGCTGCATGTCTAACAGACCTAGAAGCCAGGTGCATTGCAGCTTTTAACTGCCTGTGGTGTGTCTCCATGCAGAGGTCCCATGCACTAGGGCTGTTTCTGCCACTTGAAACCCACTCCCGCCATCGTGACTTGGCCCTTCTCATTCCTGAGGTCTCAGCTCTCTGTCCTCTCCTCACCCTGTACCTGGCCTTCCCTGACCTCTAAGCTCTCCTAAGGGGCCTCCCCTATGCCCTGCTACCCTGGTATCTATTCTAATGTTCATTTACTTTTGTGTCTATAGCCACTGCTCCCCCCCACCCCCAACCTGGGGTATAAGCTCCATGAAGACAGGGAGTCTGTCTGTATTGTTCACCACTGGATTCCAGTGCCCAGAAGAATGCCTGGCCTGTAGTAGGAGATGGATGGACAGACACCCACCTCAAGTCCAGCGTCTCCAAACTCACCTCCCCCTCATGCATTCTCTTCTCTGCCCAACTCCCCCCTCCCATTTTCTGCTTCTCTGGCTAGCTGTCTTGAAGGAAGTCACCTTTGTCTCATCTCTCTCTTCTTTTCCTCATTTTAAGAAAAATAGACTTTAGTTTTAATTTTCAGAAAAGTAATGCAGAAAATTTAAGAAGTTAGTGTAGAAGATTCGCGTATTTCCACACCCAGTTTCCGGTTGTTAACATCATATATTAGTATGGCACGTTTCTTACCATTAATGAACCAATAATGATGCATTAGTGTTATCAATAATGATTACTAACCATTAATATGGTTATTTTATTAATAATTAATATTATTTATTATATGATATATTTAAGTATGTGGGGTTCACACTTTTTTCAAATTTCTGCAGTTTTCCCTAATGTCCTTTTTCTGTCCCAGGATTCCGCATTACAGTGACTTCTCAGGTCTCCCTAAGGGGCTGTGACAGTTTCTCAGCCTTGTTTTTGATGACCTTGACAATTTTGAGAAGTGCCAGTCAGGTGTTTTGTAGACTACCCTGCAACTGCTATTTGTCTGATTTTTGTTTGTTTGTTTGTTTACAGTTAGACTGAGGTTATGGGTTCGGGGGAAGAAGACCATAGAGGTGTAGTGCCCTTTACATCACATCATGACAAGGGTGCATGCTGTCACCGTGGCTTATCACTGCTGATACTGACTTGGATCACCTGGCTGAGGGATGTTTTCACTGTGTTGCCAGTTAATAGCAGTTCTTGTTTGTTTGTTTGTTTTATTTGTTTTTTAATCCTCACCTGAGGATATTTTTCCATTTATCTTCAGGTAGAGTGGGAGGGAGGCAGGGAGAGAGGGAGAGAGAGAGAAATATCAACGTGAGAAAGACATATTGATTGGTTGCCTTCTGCACGATCCTGACCAGGGCTGGGGACGAACCACAACCGAGGTACATGCCCTTGGCCGGAATCAAACCCATGACTCTTTGGCCTTCAGGCCAGTGCTCCAACCGCTGAGCCAAACTGGCCAGGGCAATAGCAGTTCTTTCTGTGAAAGATCCTCATGCTTTGGCTGCGGGTGCTGTCACTCCAGCTGAATCTCTCCCATCTCATCCATTCAGCCCAGCCCTCGTAGGGGCCTCTTCCCAGGCTCTTCCCAGTGGGCCTCTTACTGCCCGGAACCTGCAGTGGCTCCCTGCTGCACAGGCATCGAGACCAGACTCCGTGTCTGACCATTCACGACCTGGCTCGGTCCCCTTCCCCAACCCAGACCGCTTCCGAGAATGCACCAGGATCCATCTTTGACACGCCCGAGCCTTTGGGCCTTGGCAAGTTTCTTAAGCTCTTAGGGCCTCGGTTTTCTCATCTGCAAAATGGGAATCAGAGCAGTCTTTTCCATGGGATAACTGTGAAGGTTTCATGAGAGAATGCAAACTCAGCAGATGTTAATTATTATTATATCAGCAGTATTATTTCTTCTCTGAATTTTCTGTTGTACTCTAATTTAGCACCATCTTATTTAGTACCCTCTATTTGTTTCACCTGCAAGGGTCTTTTTCTCCAAAGATCTTGAAGCAGAGACTGACTTAAAATTATTTGGGTATTTACCGACTGGCGTGGCTCAGTGGTTGAGCAGTGACCCAGGCACCAAGAGGTCACCGCACATGCTCAGGTTCTGGGCCTGATCCCTGGTGGGGGCATGCGGGAGGCAGCCAATCAATGTTCTCTCTCCTCAATGTTTCTATCTCTCTCTCCCTGTCCCTTCCTCTCTCTCTAAAATCAATAAAGAAAATTTATTTTTTTTAAAATTCTTTGGGCATTTACTAGGCATCCACTGAAGTCTTGTTGAATTGACCAACTAAGAAACAAGGCAAGCAGGTCATATTTCATTTAGTTTATCTTTAATACAAGAGCCAGAATTAAACTGAGTTTTGTTTATGTGTTCTTGGTGGGCTTAGAGGAGTTAGCACCGGAAGAAATGACTTAGTGGCCTCTCTCCCAACTTTTGCTCCATGAGGTATTTTAAGAACTGCAGCCCCCACTTGGAGAGACAACACTTATTTACATACTAAAGGCTCTGAGAAATCCTGTGGTAAAGAAAACCAGTTCATTGATTCAACCCATTTCCCAAACTTTTTTCACCATGGAACCCTTTCTCCATAGAGCACCAATTAACTTCCTGCAAATGAGAGTCTTGCAAAATGCAATTGGGAAAATGATATTCTAACCCCCCATTCATTCATTTTACAAGTGGAAAAACTAAAGTTTCCCAAATTATTGTCACAAGTACAATTATGATTTAAAAACAAAAAACAAAAAAAAACCTCTTAAAAAGTCCCTAACCCTCCGGGGTCCATTGGGAAACAGAATGGAGATATAGGGACTTTTGGACATGCAGTCAGAGCATTCAAATAGACTTTTAAAGTGTAAAGACTGGAGTTAAAAAACAAACAAACAGCAGATAAATCTGAGGCAGAGTTAAGGCTCAGGACTTGCCTCCGAGGGTTGAGGTGTTTACTCAGCTCTGACCTGTTAGACTCCTGTCAGTCCCAAGTAGACCTGAATGAAATATCATCAGCGTCAAACATGCATATTTTTAAAATGTTCTGTGCAATAGATGCGGCGATAAACCTCTGCGACCTCTGCCTGCTTCCAGAGGTCTAGTTAGTTCCAGTCGCTGGTAATTCTCTCCTCCTCCTTTCTGTCTGGCTCTTCCAGCCATGAGACCTCCCTCTGCCTCACTTGGGATGTATGTCTTTGACTGTGGGCTTTCCTTCCCAATGAAACTGACCTACCTTTTCCATATCTGACCCACATCCTTCCCTTCCCAGCTCAAGACTTTTCCTTGTTCCTCATTACTTACAAGGCAGTATCCCAATTTCTTCATGAAGGCCAAATGCAGTTGGGTTCCAACCACACCGTTCACAAGTGCTCTGCTTCAGTCAAGCTGGTCCTCACACGTGTCCCCAGGTGGACCACACTTCCTGCCTGTGCCCTCCTGTCATGTTTGAGTCCTGTCTGCTTGTCGGTGCTCCCTGAGGGCGGGGGCATATCTCCTTCCTGCTCTGGCTTCAGCACCCGAGACAGCGCCCGCCTCTGCCCACTCCCAGCAACCTGTACTCCAAGGAGGGTGAACTGGTACCAACGCTCCAGCTTCTGTCTGTCCTTTCAGAGCTGGTGGCGTGCTTTTCTTCGTCTCCCCCATCTCCCAGTTGTTTTGATCAAGTGTGTGATTGCCATGTTCTCCCACCATCAATGGCCCAAATTGCCTCTTTTCCCTCCCTAGAGAGCCTGCCTGATTCCCTCACCAAATGCCTGCTCATCCTGCAAGGTCCATTTCAAATCCCAGATCCTCCTAGAAACATTCCTTCTCTTCCAGCTCATCCCCTCCCCTGCCCCCACCAGCCACTCCCCCTCCCGTTTCCCACTCCCCAACCTGCTGCTGCAGATCAGACAGATGAGAACGTCAGATTGTTCTAATTACATCTGTCACACTCCGTTACTAGAGGGGTTCTCTTCCCCGCGTTGACTTATTTTTATCACAGTGTTACTTAAATGTGAACAAGCATAACGTTAGGTGCAATTTCCATGTATTTCAAACTTACATACAACTGTAAACCTAAGCCACACTTTCAAATCAAGTACAATTTATTCAGACTATTGTTATTTCCCATTAGACTGTGCTTCCTGGGAAGGAAATGGCTGTTTGCCTCCAGGACGTGGTACCAATGTCTGCTGCCCAGGGTCTCTGAGTCAGCAGCCTGTGACACTGGGTGACTCAGTTCTCCTATTTTTCCCTTTCATTGTGGGTTAGGAGCTGCCCCCATGAGGTAGTTGTGTTTGACTGGTAATAGATTAAGATAAATGGGTTTATTGGCTCCAGTTTGCCAGGGGTTTCTTCCTCTCTCACATCATGTGAGTCCCAAAGTGGACTGTCCAGGGCTAACATGGTGGCTCCACCATGGATCGAAGGACCGGGGCTCCCCCAGCCCACCACCCTGCCTTCCCTTTGATGCTTGTCAGATGGCTTCTGCAACTCCAGCCATGATGACCGTGGCTAGGCAGGGAGAACGAGGAAGGTAAGAAGGGCAAAAGGGGCCTGTCAACTCAGGTGCTTTCAGAGATTTTCCCCAGGACTATGGTGACTCCTTCTTGTTGTCTTACTGTGGAGACCCTAGGAGAAGCAAGGGAGGCTGGGAAATAGGATTGTATGGTGGGACGCGTCACTACTCCCAACACCATGGGGCTTCTGTTAGGGAGGAACGGGGAGACGGTCATTACATAGGCAAGTGGTAGCCCCTGCCATCTTGGGACCTGGAATCCCATGGTAGTGGGCATGTTTTTTAAAAATCGTTATGGAATTCTAAAAATGTGAAATCAACAACTCCCAGGCTCCTATTTGAGAAACGGTAATGGTTCTCTTGTGAGTTTGCAGGAAGATGGCTTCTCTCTCTGAGTTGATCTTACATGCTGTGATAACACGGTCCTGAGGGGTCGGGCCCACCCTAGACCCCTTGTGTCCTCCAAAGTACCTGTTACCGCTCTGGCCACAGGAGACTCACCTCTTCAATGATACCTACTGAGTCTGGAGTCACTTTGGAAGATGGCTGAAGGTGCTCTTTTGGGGAGCAGAGCTTTGGTTAAACCTCTGCTCTGCCACTAAGTAGCTGTATAACCTTGAGCAAGTTACTCACTGTGCCTCAGTTTCCCTATATGTAAAATGGAGAAAATAGCAGCATCTTTCATGGTGGGTGTGAGGATTATGAGAGAAGCTTTGTGGCATGCTCAGTGCCGGGCTGGGTACATAGTAGGTGTTACAGAAATGTTAGCACGTTTCTCCTCCTTTTATGGAGTGTGTGTGTGTGTCTCCATGTTTCTGGTGTTGATATAACCTTAGGCTGTCACTGAATAACCTGACTCAGTGATGCCTAAACCACACAGACGATACGGGCATTCTCCAAGGTGGGCAGCACGTGGAATGTTAGGTGAAAGGCACGGGTACTTTGAAAGGTATATTCTAAATTTATCATTACCTGAGGTTTTTTGGGTTTTTTTAAACATTGTATTCAAATTTAAAATATTCTATGAAGGTATAAGACTTGCATGTTTTTTGAGAGGGACTACACGTTCAAAGCTTTTCCGATTCTCTAGGCATCCGAGGTCATGTTCTGAATTTTTTTTTTTTATCCTCACCCAAGGACTTTTTTTTTTTCCATTTTTTGTTCAGATAGAGTGGGAGGGAGAGAGAGGAAGAGAGCAAGAGAGAGAAACATCGATGTGAAAGGGACACATCGAGTGGCTGCCACCCACATGACCAACCAGGGCCAGGGACAAACTGCAACCGAGGTACGTGCCCTTAGCGGGAACCGAACCCGGGTCTCTCTGGACTGCAGGCCGACGCTCTAACCGCTGAGCCAAACCAGCCAGGGCCATGTTCTGATTTTTGTCCCCTGATTTCGAGGCATTCCATGTTGTCTGTTGACTTTAAGGTGTTAGATGTCGTTCTGTGCTTTTAAAACAGTTCACAGGCCCTGGCCGGTTTGGCTCAGCGGTTAGAGCGTCCGCCTGCGGTCCGGAGAGACCCGGGTTCAGTTCCCGCTAAGGGCACGTACCTCAGTTGCAGTTTGTCCCCAGCCCTGGTTGGTCGTGCGGGTGGCAGCCACTCGATGTGTCCCTTTCACATCGATGTTTCTCTCTCTCTCCCTCCTACTCTATCTGAACAAAGAATGAAAAAGTGTCCTCAGGTGAGGATAAAAAAAAATAATAATAAAAAAAAATAAAAAATTAAACAGTTCAGCCCTGGCCAGTTTGGCTCAGCGGTTAGAGCGTCGGCCTGCGGTCTGGAGAGACCCGGGTTCGGTTCCCGCTAAGGGCACGTACTTCGGTTGCAGTTTGTCCCCGGCCCTGGTTGGTCGTGCGGATGGCAGCCACTCGATGTGTCCCTTCACGTCGATGTTTCTGTCTGTCTCTCCCTTCCTCTCCCTCCCTCCCACTCAATCTGTACAAAAAATGGAAAAATATCCTCGGGTGAGGATTAAAAAAAAAAAAAAAAAAAAAATTAAACAGTTCACAGCCCTGGCCGGTGTGGCTCAGTGGTCAGAGCCTAAGCTGTACACTGTGACAGGGAGATCCCACTGCCTTGCCCTTTGCTCCCCTAGGTCACAGACTTCCAGGTAGATGAGTCCAGTTTCACGGGAGAAGCTGAGCCATGCAGTAAGACGGACATGCAGTTGACAGGCGAGGGGGACCTCACCAGTCTGAGAAACATTGTCTTCATGGGGACCCTGGTTCAGTATGGGAACGCACAGGTAAGCCCTGGGGCGCCATGGGGGCCTTGGCTTCGATCCCCAGCAGGCTTCCAGCCGTAGAGCTCACACTTCTCCCTCCTGAACACAGGGAGTTGTGATCGGAACAGGGGAGCATTCTCAGTTCGGAGAAGTGTTCAAGATGATGCGGGCTGAAGAGGTAAGGGCAGCTGGGGGCTTTGGTTTTCTTGTAGGCTGGGTTCGAGATATTCTCGGCTGGTGACACAACCCTGCCCACCCATTAAGAATGAGGATCGGCCCTGGCTTGTTTGGCTCAGCAGTTAGAGCATCAGCCTGCGGTCCAGAGAGACCCGGGTTCGGCTCCCGCTAAGGGCACATACCTTGGTTGCAGTTTGTCCCCGGCCCTGGTTGGGTCATGTGGGTGGCAGCCACTCAATGTGTCCCTTTCACGTCAATGTTTCTCTCTCTCTCTCTCTTCCTCTCTCTCCCTCCCGCTCTATTGGAACAAAAAATGGAAAAATGTCCTCGGGTGAGGATTTAAAAAAAAAAAAAAGGATGAGGATCGTGTGGTTAATGTGAGTTGACTTCTTAAAAATTAATTTGTGCTTTAAGGCATTAGGATTTTTGTCAAGCTATAATTTACAGTAAGGTACACAGGTAGTAAACGTAGAGATCAATGACTTTTTATATACGTGTACCCCTGTGTAATGGTCACGGCTCAAAATGCAAATGAGCCAGGCAGAAGCTGTGGGGTGCTGCTGGGGTGTCATCTAACACACCCGCTGTTCCTATCCTTTCAGACACCCAAAACGCCTCTGCAAAAAAGCATGGACAGTCTGGGGAAACAGCTGGCACTTATCTCATTCTGTATAATTGGTGAGTGACAGTTTCTGCACTCGGTCCTGGGACTGGCGAGAGCTGCCAGGGACAGCCCCTGCTGCTTCTCAAGCACCTTGCTGCTCACCTCGCGGGGGTTGGGTTGGGATCGGAGGCTCTGACAGCCACAGAGGGCTTCTGGATGAGTCAGGCTAGGCTCGCTGCAGGAACAAGCAACTCCTGCATGGTAGCGACTTAACATGGTCCAAGTTGATTTCTTGCTCACACCATAGTCCATGGACATGTTCTTGGTCTAGCGGCTTTCCTGGAAAGCTCACCTCCAAACGCCGTCTCGGGCCCAGGCCCCTACTATATTTCTGCTCTCCCTTCCTCTGGGTCCTTGGAGGCTGGTCATAATTCTGTTTAGCCACAAGCTGGGGAAAGGGGACACGGAGGCTGTGTGGGAAAGTGTTAAGGCATGGACCAGGAAGTGAAGTCATTGCTCTTGTCCATTTTCATTCGGTCCGAATGGAGTCACGTAGCCTGCCTGTTTGCAAGGGAGACTGGAGCGTGTCAATTAGTGGTGTGCCAGCCAGATTTCTCTGCCATTAAGTAGGCTTTGCCTGGGTTTATATCTCGTGGCCTTTGATAACACCCCAAAGACAGCATTGACATGATGCCGCAGATCTGAGTTCAGGTCTTACACCTGAATATCACTGTGGAGTGGCCCTGGTCCCTTCACCTGCTCCCTCCTGCTGTCTCCAGCTCTGGCTTTGAGTCTGTGTCCTCTGTTCCTGACTTCAAGACCAACCAGTGCCTTGCCCAGAGTAGAGTCTCAATAAACATGTGTTGAGTTAATGAGTTAATAAAGGAACAAATCAAAACCACTGCCCATAGTACCAGAAGTGATAAGAGGAAGTACTAGTGAGTCTGGCTACACCTGGAGCCAGAGTGGTTTCTTGGGAGAAACAGCCGCCCCTCCCAGCAGCATTGTTGTCCCCTGGTCACCCAGATGCATGAATCCATCGCGTGAGTGTTTTATGACATCCTGGGCCCTGTGATACGTTCTGGGGCCACCAAGATGGGTAAAACACAGCTTCTGCCATTGGAAGGGCCCTAGGCAAATGGGGAAGAGCCCCCCGAACAAATGCAGAATGTGAAAGGAGCGGGTTAATCTGGTGTGGAAGAGTTGAGGAGACTCCAAGGAGGAGGTCATGTTAAGCCAGGTCTTGCAAAATGAGTAGGAATTTGCCAAGTGACAAAAGAGGGGATTGGGAATTCCAGACAGAGCAAAAGGTAAGTCCAAAAGTAGGGAAGGTGTCCCCTGCTCCTTCATAGCGTGTAAGAGGTGGTCAATTTCGCCGAGTGGTTAAGAGGGTGAGCCCTGGAGTCAGGGCCGTCAATTCTGTTATCCTGGGGACAGACCTACCCACCCTTTCCTCCCTGGTCACCCCTTCCCCGTGTTCCAGTCTAGTTCCCTTATACTTTGGATTACCTGCTCAGGATTGCGAGGCTCGGGCATGGCAGCAAAGACGACGGAGAAGGATTAGTGATGTCTGTCGTGGACACAGGAGGGAAAGTGCACCACCCCTTTGTTGCCATGTTGACATGCAGTCTAGAATGCCCAGGGGCCGCTCTGCCACCTAGAGCAGGGAGTGGAACCTATGACTCCCAGGCCGAACCCGATTCACCACCTACTTTTGCAACGACCCACAAGCAGAGTATTTTTTATTTTTATTTTTTTACATTTTTAAATAACTGGGAGAAAGTCTACGGAAGAAGAATATTTCATAACATGAAAAGTATGTGAAATTCGAGGTTCAATTCAAATTCGGATTTGGTGTTCACAAACGATGTTTCACGGGAACACAGCCACGCCCGTTCCCAAGGCATCTATGGCTGCGCTTGCGCCGCGACGGCCAGGCTGAGTGCGGCAGGGACCGTGTGGCCCACGAAGCCGAACCTGTTCACTGTCCGCCCTGGTACAGGAGAAGTTCCGACAGTGCTCTAGACGAGCGGTGACCAGACGGAGCCAGCGATGTAGTGAGTGCTGCTCTTTCCACCGCAGTAGCCTCAAGAACAACCACCAGGTAGATGTGCTTTGAGGCCGGTTGTCAAATAGAGGGTATTAACAGGACTTGCCGCCAGATGCAATTGTTCATACAAAACGAAAAGGTCCGAGTCAGGGGTCCTACAAGGTCACGGCCTTATGTCTGCCATTATTTCTGAAGTTAAATGCGAACTTAGTTACATTGGCATGTGTGGCCAGGCCATAGTACCACTCAGATCTTTTACGTCATAATAAAGATTTCAAGAATGGTCCGAAAAGAGTGGGAGTTTTGAAACTGGCCTCCATAGATCCCTCAGGACCCAGGTGGGAGATGCAGAGCGGCAGTGGCGTGCTGATAAATGTTTAACAACACCTTCCAGGGAAAAGTAGCGTCTGCCCATTTCTGTGGTGTCAATACTCTCAGCACGGCCAGCTGCAAGCTGCCAATGTGAAGTTATTGCACGTGGTTTTGGAGGAGATATGCGCATAGGCTTGTGGGAGACCCTGTCAGCTAGCTGCAGCCTTCTGCAGGGAGGCCTCCTGGTGGAGGAGGGGGGAATCTGGTCCGAGAGGGTGGGGTCCCAGACTCTGCCCCATTCCTGTTTCTAACAGTGTCCACCCTCCAATCTTTTGCATTTGGGTTCTAGCTAAGATTTCATTTGACTACTGAGTTCTGTAGCTAATGAAAAAAAAAAAATCACACGTACAAATCAGAACTTGCAATCCCCTTACACACACACACTGCCACCGCCACCGCCACCGCCGCCACCACTACTACCCAGCACGTAACTTGCCCTGACTCCCTGTTCCCGCGAAACAAAGCCGATGTTCTTTAGCAAATCCTTCAGTGTCAGGAACGCCACTCACCTTCCCACCACTTCCCATAACAGTCGCAGCAACAGTTAACGACGACTGGGCAGTCACTGTGGGCCGGGAGCTGCGCTCAGCACTCCAGAGGCATTGTCATATCTTAAATCCCAAAACAGCTCTTTGAGGAAAGCATGGTCATTATCCCCACTTTACAGATGAGCAAACTGAGGCCGCCCCTAGTGGCCCCAAAACTTTGCCCACTGCCGGACATCCTGTGAACTTCTACAGGCCCCAGCATGGCTCATGCCACTTCTTGGCCTCAAGGGTCCATCTCTGTCTTCATGCACCCTGAGCCTAGCACAGGGCCTGGTGTTTACTAAACCTGGTTAAACGATCGATGGAGGGAAAGAAAATGGAAAAGGGAATGTATTTAATCATGAACGTGGCAACAAAAATATTCAGGGAACAGTGGCCCATCCACCCATCACGGAAGCAGCAGCATCCGCCACATCGGACACATGGTGGGGGCGCAGTCCTGGAGACACACAGCTCCTGGGAACTTCTGGAACAATCCGTAGATGTATACAACAGCCCCAAACAATCTGGTTCTTTCTTTACTTGCACTGGCCTGATCCTTTCCCGAAAGTAAAACCATTCTCTTTTGTCGGTATGAAGGTATCTTAAGGAAAAAGTGGTTACAAGTCCTTGAGGTTATTAATGATTGCCCTGTGTCTATATTCCTGTAAACTTTTGAAATGCCCTCGTGCCTTCAGATGCTGGAGAGTGTGTGTGTGTGTGTGTGTGTGTGTACAAGTATACACACTTTTTTGGTCTCTTCCCCAGGTGTAATCATTCTCATTGGCTGGATGCAAGGGAAGCCCCTTCTCAGCATGTTCACGATCGGGGTCAGGTAAGGGCTCCATGCCGTCCCTCCCTCGTCAGTGCAGCAAGACAAGGTGCGGAGATTGGGGAGCAGGGACAGTGTGGGGAACCTGCATCTTCCCCACCCCAAGCTGCAGTCTCCCAGTAGCACGCTGTCTGGCAGGTGGGGTGCCCCGGGAGAGCTTGCAGAACAAACAAAGCATACGATTTGGAGTTCCCGTCCCTGTCACTGGATCTTTCTGGCTAATAGTACAGAGTCCAGAGCCAGCCTGCCCATGGTTAAATTCTGGTTTTACCACGTGCTAGCGGTGTGACCTCGGGCAAACTTCTGCACATTCTGTGCCTCGGTTTTCTCTCTGTAAAACGAGAGTGATGCGATCACCCCTCCTGCAGCCGTGGTAAGGATGAGACGGAGCCGGTGCAGGTTCCGGCAGCAGTCTGGAGGGCGCAGTGTGTTTGCTCCTGCTGCTCCTGTGAACCTCAGTCCTTCTTTTATGGAGGAATCTATAGAATCGGATAAAGGACATATCACAGGCCACCCAGCTCACAGCAGGGCTGGGAATCAGGGCCCTTGACTTGAAGCCCAAGGAACTTGCCTTTCCTCCACACGGTGACTCTAACAAGTGGCAGTCACTGCCCGGGTCTCGGCGGACAACGCAGAGATGAGCAGGGAGCAGGCCCCAGCTTTTCCACAGCTGCTCACCGAGTCAAGGGAGGCAGAGCGCCAGGGATGGCCACTGACTGGATACGTCTCAGCTGAAAGGCGGCTGGTGACACTTTTGGGACACAGAAAAGCCAACACATTTCTAGGCCCCTGGAAAGCCCCGTGGTTTCCAGAGGGTGACCCCCATGCTGTTGGTATCTGCAAGACGCTGTAGGTGATACGTGGGAAATTGTTTTTTTGTTATCCTCACCCGAGGACATTTTTCCATTTTTTGTTCAGATAGAGCGGGAGGGAGAGAGAGGAAAAGAGAGAGAGAGAAACATCGACGTGAAGGAACACATCAAGTGGCTGCCACCCGCACGACCAACCAGGGCCGGGGACTAACTGCAACCGAGGTACGTGCCCTTAGCGGGAACCAAACCCGGGTCTCTCTGGACCACAGGCCGATGCTCTAACCGCTGAGCCAAACCGGCCAGGGTGGAAATTGTTTTAATGTCCGTGAGCAAAAATACAGGATATCAAACCCACGATGTAAACAAGCTTAGCTGCCCATCGACTAATGAATGGATAAAAATCATCTAGTGGAATATCATTCGGCCACAGAAAGGAACGAAGCACCGACACCCGCTGCAGCACGGGTGACCCTGGAAAACATGAGGCTCGTGAAGGAAACCAGACTCAAAGGGCCGCATGTTATATACATTCATTTACGTGCAGTGTCCAAAATAGGCAAATCCACAGAGACAGACATTAGATGCGTGATTTCCAGGGGCAGGGGTGGCTGCTAACAGTTACGGAGGTTCTTTTGGTGGGGATAAAAATGTTCTAACGTTGATTGTGGTGATGGTTGCACAGCTCTGAGTATAACTAAGAACCACTGAATTATATACTTTAAAAGGTGAATTTTATAGTATGTGAATTATATCTCAAAAAAGAAAGAGCATAGAGCGGATCATTAGGAATGTTGTTATCCAAGGATCCTTGGGACCTTTCTGATTTATACATAAAAAGTCAACCATTTGCAAATGGTTGGTTTAATGAATACTGTATAGTTAGAATATAGAAAGTACACAGGTATGACAAAAATCATAAAAGCAAAATGCAAATGACAGACATTAGGCAAACCCCATCAGAAACTGGCCCAAGCCAAAAAATCAAGTCCACCTTTTCTATTTAAAAAAGTCCTATAACGAGACAGATTTCCAAGCTACATCAGAATATCTTAAAAAGCTAGTTCTTGGTATAAAAAGCTGCCCTAGCAGTTCATCCATTACAACTTATAATCAGTGCTATAAAGCAAACAGTTGCTGAGACAGGGGTTAAAAAGGATTGCCCCGAAAAGGGGGCCGGGGAAGGTTCCCTGAAGACTTGAGGCTGGAGAGATGAGGATAGTGCTAAGGCAAGAGCAGGGAGGGTGTCCACGCAGGGGGAGCGGCATGAGGAAAGGCTCCGAGGTGCAAACCAGGAGGAGCCGGGCTGGCCTTGGTGAGCAAATCAGAGGGTGGGGTCTTCTCGGGCACAGATCATGGGGGCGATGCTGGGCTCCTTTCTCTCTCAATTCTAATGGTTTTGTCAGACTCCTTTTCAACCAGGCCAGGGCGTCACCACTGTTCTTTTAGAGCAGAGGGGTGAAAAGCATTCTTGACACAGAGCCTGGAGGTGACTGGAGGCGTGAACCCCAGCTGGTTACAGAGGAGAGGGGGAGGGCGCAGCGAGGAGGGGGCAGCTGGCTGCCCCGTGGGATGTGGCCTTTGAGGCGAGGGCAGGGCATCCTGGACGAGTGGATCACTGCGGCGTCGGGGGTCTCAGGCCTTAGGGTCCCTGGGAGAGCTTGTGCAACACAGGTCACGGGTGCAGACGCTGGGTCTGGGTGGGCCTGAGATGCTGCATTTCTAACAAGTTCCAGTGAGCGCTGATGCTACTGGTTCCGGAAGCACACTCTGAGCAGTGAGGCTGCGACTGGGAACCGTCCGGGGCAGGTCCAGCAAGAGGCAGAGCCAGGGAGGAAGTCTGAGCCCCTGGAGAGAGAGCTCAGGGGACTACGCTTTCAGAGGCAGGGGTGACGGCAGAGGGACTGGGGAGCCTGAGCGCTTCGACACCGCGATGCCTAAGGACCTCCCCGAAATAATGATGCATTCCATTGCCATCTTCTAACCCGTGGAAAGTTCCCTGAGCCAAAAGACAATGAGCTATTTCCAGGTAAAGAGCAAAAAAGGTTTCCATGTTCATCTCTACCCTACCCCCCGGGTTATTCCTGATTTCCTGTGTTGACGGTCCCTTTCATCTCATTCATTCTGCTTGCTCCGCCGGAAACTTGCCAGTAAGAGAGACTTGACTGCTTGCTGGTGACTTGGAAAGAAGGTTTGCAGCAAGACTGACGTCACTGGGAACCACCCAACTGAAATGTGGAAACAGCAGGATAGCAGTGAGGAAGTTCTCCCATTCCTTTTTTTTTTTTTAACTTTTTTAAAAATTGATTTTAGAGAGAGGAAGGGAGAGGGGAAAAGCGAGAGAGAAACATCGATGAGAGAGAACATCGATTGGCCGCCTCCTGCACGCCCCTCCCTGGGGATTGGGCCACAACCTGGGCATGTGCCCTGACCGGGAATCGACCTCTTGGTGCATGGGTCGATGCTCGACCACGGAGCCACAGCGCCTGGCTCTCCCATTCTTCTAAACACTTTATCCTGAGGCCCTCTGCCTCAAGAGACACTCAAGATGACCCAAGGTATACTTGCTTTTCCTGGCCCACTCTACTCTTTATTAGTTTATCGATTCTTTTTTTTATTATTATTATTATGAAAGCTTCCTGGTACAAAAATCACCCTTCCACACCATGTAGGGGGAAAGTCCCCCTCATAACCCTCGCAAATGTTTGCTTAGTTAGCCTTATCAGCCTGTACCATACAACCAAGGAAGCCTTCTTGCCATCACCAAGGAAACTGGGCACAGTCCCGTGACTGGATCCTGTGATCTTGGCTTATAGACCCGAAGGCTGTATTGTCTCTGGGTAAAAAGCCACCATCATGCACTGTATTTCTTCGATTCTAAGATGCACATCCTTTTTCACTTCTCCGAAGTCAGACTTCTTGCAGCGGTGTGATGGAGCACCATGCTGCTGATCAATTGGCAGCATTCTCATCTTTCTTAGTGGTACACAAGGTAACGGCGTCCTCCACGAGCAGCAGTGTCTTAGATTGGACGAAACGCATGAGCTGTGTGTGAGTGGGGTTGAATGGGTCTCCTCAGCTAGGCCTATTCCAGCAGCCCACGCAGAGCGCTCGCCACGTGCTAGGCCAGTGTAGGTCGAGACACCTGCCACGTAGTCACTTGAGCATTAGTTCACTTGGCAAACATGTACTGAAGGCCTGCAGGGCTCTGCTGGAGGTTCAATGCAGAGGGTGAACCACAGTGGGCGTGGCCGGCTGACGCTCACGGCACAGCTCTGCACAAAAGCATCCTCTCCCTCACTCATCTCCAGCCTCCCCCATCAGCCCGAGGCCAGCTGGTCATTAACCAGACCTCTGCCCTCAGCCAGGCCTTCCCAGGAATGTGGGATGGGGGAGCAGTCAGCCCCGCTGTTCTGGAGCCAAACGGAGGCAGCAAGAGCCCCTTCTTAACAGCCTATCACATGTGGACATACTGCCCAAAGGAAGGGGATCCATGTTCTCAATCCCAGTTCAGATTCCCCAGAAAGAGAAGCTCATTGGTTCATCTCGGATCACATGTTCTGCTCTAATCCAGTCAGCCATGGCTATGGGAGAATGAAGTCACACAGAAAGAGTTGGAGGGATGGTAGAGAAGTGAGCAGATATCTAAAGGCATAGTTCTGTCACTTTGCCTCCCTCAGTGTTAATTTTCGGTCTGGCTTTCTTACCAGAAATGTCTAAAGCATTAGAGCAATGAAAAGTTAAATTTAAGGGAGGACCCTCTGAACCAAAAAATTCCACCTTCTACTAATTGCCTGATTCTGGAAATTTCTTTCCTAGAGCCCAGAGACTTTTCTCTTTAATAAATGAGAGCAATTTAAGTGCAAAAGCACTTAAAGAGGCAAAGCAACTGGCAGACTACTTCACACTAAAGTGTGGATGTCTGATAGGATAGATCCCTTCCCAAAATCATGGGTTTGCAGTGGGGGAGCTCAGAGTAATAGATGTTGAAGAAGGAGGCAGGTGCATCATGGAATGGGGAACAGAAAATAAAAGAGGGACTTCTTTGTGGGCATTAGAGACGAGCTTTACCAGGTAAAAGTGTTGCAATCGCAGTGGGAATTCATATCGTTCTTAAGTGCATGTTAAAGGTGACCCATCTGACTTTTCAATCCAGCCTGGCTGTGGCTGCCATTCCAGAGGGTCTGCCCATCGTTGTCACAATCACACTGGTCCTGGGAGTACTACGGATGGCCAAGAAGCAGGTCATTGTGAAGAAGTTACCGATCGTGGAGACTTTAGGTGAGAGACTCCACCTGGTTGAATTCTTATAAATTGCATAGAATGGATGTTTTGGTGCCATGTTAATTCACCCTGGGTATTTTATAAGCCTGAGAGTTGGTGGTGATGACTGCTTTTTCCTATAAACTCAGATTTTTTCTCTTGCCAGGTTGCTGCAATGTTATCTGTTCTGATAAGACAGGGACTCTAACCACCAATGAAATGACTGTCACCCAACTTCTAACGTCTGATGGGCTCCGTGCAGAGGTGAGTGCTGCAAATATACAAGGTTCAAGACAACGGTGTGCCCTGCCAGACCCTTTCCTCCTCGAGGAAGCACAGGGAGTCTTCTAGTAAACAATAAGGAGAAAACAAATACGAGCGATATTGTGCAAATTCCTTATCGATAGCTACAAGGAATGTGAGTGGTTTAAGGGAGCCCTCTTTATTTTTCATTACCTTTAATAATAAGCACATTATAAAATTTTAAAGCTAGAAGACCATTGTCCATAACCTCCCATGGTAACCTCACCATGATTAGTCCATGTGTGGTTCTGAGCGTCTCCTGGGCATTGGCACCATAGGAAGCTCCCAAAATGTGCCATTTCGTATGTTGTTGCTTTTTTCATGAAATGTTCCACACCAAGGGGTCGGCAGTGACAGTCTGTGGCCCAGTGCCTATTTTGGTAAATAAGGTTTTGTTGGCACACTGCCACACCCTTCCGTTTATATGTTGTTTTTATGCCACAATGGCAAAGTTGAGTCATTGCGACAGAGATTTGCTTGGCTGAAATAGTTGCCATCTGGCTCATGAGAAAAAGTTTGCACACCTGTACTCTACAACATAAGCGCTCATCTGTGCTGTTCCTTGGTTTTCTTAACCAGAATTTTTACCGGCTGCAGAATATCCCACTGAGCAAAATTATTGCACATGGCAGTTAGTGAGGTACTCTGATTAATACACAGCCCTGCAGGGAACGTCTTCGTGCGCAAAGCCTTGTTTGTGGCTAGGATTTTGTCCTTGGGATGGATCCCCAAAAAAGATATTATGGGTCAACCAGAGGAGCATATTTTTGACACTCGATGACATCCCTTCTGTCCCCTTGCCCTACAGGTCAGCGGAGTTGGGTATAATGGCGAAGGGATAGTCTGTCTTCTACCATCAAAGGTGGTCATTAAGGACTTTTCCAATATCTCAGTGGGGAAATTAGTGGAGGTAAGTGTCCAAAGCACCATGGGAGAAATATGCATTTAAAACGGCACTGATGGGGAGTCTCTCTAAGAAGAGAAACAGTTACCGGGCCAACTGGTTCTTGGTGACAACTCGGCCACCCCTAGGAGTCAGGTTGTCACAGTGGCCCCGGGAACAGATGGAAACATCAGCGGCAAGAGAAGCGCCAGAGCCCTGTGTGCGTTAGAGCGGCCTGCACGGAGGAGGTGCGCACTGACTGGCGGGCAGTGGCCCGTGACACGCGGTGCCTGCTGTCCTGTCGGTACTTACAGCGCCGCCCTGAGCATCCTACCACAGGGCCCATCTGTCCTCCCACATTGAAGGGCCCCTGTGAAGCCTGCACCCAGCCGCCTTCCTGTGTGACAATTACTGTGTCACTCCTCCTGGGTCCCACCCCAGGGCCACTTAATTATCACAGCAACCTTGCCAGGCCCGTCCTGTCACCTTAACATTGTGCAGATTAAGGAATGGGCTCAGCCCTGGCCGGTTTGGCTCAGCAGTTAGAGCATCGGCCTGTGGACCAGAGAGACCCGGGTTCAGTTCCCGCTAAGGGCACGTACCTCGGTTGCAGTTTGTCCCCGGCCCCAGTTGGGTCGTGCCGGAGGCAGCCAGTCAATGGGTCCCTTTCACATCAATGTTTCTCTCTCTGTCTCTTCCTCTCTCTCCTCACTCTGTCTAAACGAAAAAAAGGAAAGAAATAGGCTCAGCCCTGGCCAGTTTGGCTCAGCAATTAGAGCGTCAGCCTGCGGACCAATGAGTTGCGGGTTTGATTCCAGCCAAGGGCACGTACCTTGGTTATGGTTAAGTCCCCGGCCCTGGTCGGGTCGTGTGGGTGGCAACTAGTCGATGTGTCTCTCACATCGATGTTTCTGTCTCTCCCTCCCTCCCACTCTACCTAATGATAAATGGAAAAAAAAAATTATACATATATTATATATATATATATCTCCTTGGGTGAGGAATAATAAAAAGAAAAAAAAAAGAAATGGGCTCAGAGAGGTGATGTGAGTGCCCGCGGTCACCCAGCCAGTGTGGGAGGAGAGCTGGGACTCGCGCTCCGTGCCCTTTTGTGGGCTTCTTTTTTGAATCGCTATTTTTAATTGAGCTAGAACTCACGTGCCGCAGAAGCCACCCTTGCACAGTACACAGCTCAGTGGTTTTCAGTAGATTCACCAAGCTGCACAGCCACCTCCACCGTCTGACTCTAGGACACTGGGTCTCCCGAAACAGAAACCCCGCACTCAGTATCGGTCCCTCGCCATTACCCACACCAGTCGCCACCCGCCTACCTGCCTTCCCACCGTGTCTCCTCCCAGAGGCTCTAAGACAACCAGCATCCAGCAGAGGCAATAAGTATCCACTGTGTGTATTTTAAAGAGCGGGGACTCTGATGCATTTGGAAGAGTAAATCTTGTTTCTCACCTCCATCCAAAAATGGGTCAAGCCTTCCATGTGCGACTTTTTCACATGCCCACGTGAGCCCAGGACCCCAAAGGGGGCCGGCTCCGAATATTAACTAAAGACATTGAGAAATCCCCCCTTTCAGGCCGGCTGTGTCGCCAACAACGCTACCCTCGGAGAGCACAGCATGGTGGGACAGCCCATGGAAGGTGCCTTGCTCGCCCTGGCAATGAAGGTGGGACATTTTTTATTTCCTTTGAATGCATTCCTTTGGTTCCAGGGCTCAGCAGTCAGTCCCTGAGCTGTGCCCGGGCAGAGCGGCTGCCCACAAGCGTGGAAGGTGGGGGGATGGCTGTGCCTCTCTGCTTTGTGCAAAGAGGGGAAATAACAGAAGAGGTCTGCTCCCCCCTCAGTCAGGGCAGAAGCCCACTCATGGGTGCTTGTCCTGTGGGAGTGGCCCCTCTGGCTCCTTCCCAGCCGTTCTGCTCCCGGCCGCTGGCTCTGTGCTGTGACCTCCCTCTCCCGGCCACCTCAGACGTCTCTTCAAGTTCACTGATGCTTCCACCTCGCAGGCACCTCAGGCACCCCGAGCTGTCCCGCAGGGCACTACCCTGCGTCCACCTGTTCACCTGTCCCTCCCCAGCCCAAGACCAGATGCCCTCATTCCTGCCTCTCGCCCATGTCACAGCCCAGAACAGGGTGTTCCAGGGGCCAGTTCTGGGCGGGCAGACAAGGGGAAGGGTTACCCTTTCACCACCTCCCAGTAAAGGTCACGAAGGTGTGAAGACATCGCTGCGCCGTGTCCTTTCCCCTCACTCACAGAAGAAAATGATCCCCAGCATGTTGGTGATTCCAAATGGAGCCTATTGCCCCCTTCCAGACAAGGAGGGTGAGCCCCACTCAGCAACCCCCGCCCAACAGGGGAGGGACAGCCGACCTGGCTGTCACAGCGGGAGCCGAACGCCGGGGTGGGCTCCCCGCCCACGCAATGCAGGGAGGGCAGAGGTTCCAGAACCCTCTTTCTTTTACGTGTTAGGGTTTTACTCCTCCCTGGCTCCAAACTGTTTGGGGGGCCTGGCGTGGGATTTTAGAATACACCTTTAAAAATAAAATAAGTAACAGCTGCTGTGTACCGAGCGCTTCCTGTGAGACCGGCATGGTGCTGAGCATTCTCTGTTTATTCTCTCACTCATCCTTAAGCCTTTCCTTCACCATCCCTCCCGTGTTAGTGTCCCAGAGTAGCCAAAAGAAAGCACCATAAACCGTGTGCTTAAAAAGAACAGAAACTGGCCCTGGCCGGTTTGTCTCAGCGGTTTGAGCGTCGGCCCGGGGTTCGGTTCCCGCTCAGGGCGCATACCTTGGTTGCAGTTTGTTCTCGGCCCTGGTTGGGATCGTGTGGGTGGCAGCCACTCGATGTGTCTCTCTCTCTTCCTCCCTCTTTACCTCCCGTTCTATCTGAAGATAAGTGCAAAAAAATGTCCTCAGGTGAGGATAAAAAGGAAAAAAAAACAACTGATTCTCACAGTCTGGTGACCAGAAGTCCAAACCGAAGTGGCGGGCAGGGCCACACGCCCTCTCCGGGCTGCTCGCAGCCATCCTGGGTGTCCTTGGTTTGCGTCACTGTCCTCTGCCTCAGTCTTCACGTGGTATCCTCCCCATGTGTCCGTCTCCATGTGGCCTTGTCCTCCTCTTACCAGGACACCAGTCTTTGGATTAGGCATGCCCTAAATCCCTCATCTTACCATGATCGCATCTCCAAAGACCCTGTGTCCAAATAAGATGCCATTCTCAGGTACTGAGGGTTGGGACTTAAACACATATATATTTTTTTCTTTATTGATTTTTAGAGAGAGAGAGAGAGAAACATTGATGAGAAAGAACATCGACTGGCCGACTCCTGCACGCCCCACACTGGGGATCGGGCTCACAACCTAGACATGTGCCCTGACCAGCAATCGAACCGGCAACCTCTTGGTGCATGGGCTGATGCTCAACCAGTGAGCCACACCGGCCGGGCATTCAACACATCTTTCAAGGGTACATAGTGCAACCCATAATATCCTCCTAAGGAGTTTTAGACATTTTTTTCTAATCACTTCTTCCACAGAATTTTAATCCACAGATATATCGTATGTCTGTTCATGTACTCTGTGCATATCTGTGCTTTACATAAAAAGCAGCGAACTTTTTTGTCCTCCTAAGGACCCATTTCACCCCTTGTAGGGCAACAGGATGCACAGCTTAGGACTGGGGTGCAGTTTGGGAAACTGAGGCTCAGAGCTATCAACTCACTGGCCCCCACACTGTCAAAGAGGTCTGGCAAGGACCCCAGGCTGTGACAACAGGCCACCCTGCTAATGTGGGGGATCCTTTGGGGGCAGTTGCTCCACCCTCAGGTCTGCAACATGTTTGCCGACAGGAACCCCCAGGCTGCTGTTTCTGAGTAGGTTTTGGCTAGAAGCTATTTCAAAGACCTTGTGGTTCTGCCCCTGGGACCAGAGAAAGAGCCCCCTGCCCAACCCCCGAGTTGGGACACTTGAAAGCAAATGGCCATTCTCTGTAAGCTGAACACTTGGATTTCTCATCTGCCTGAGATGGTTTGAATAATGAACCATTTAAATGGACTGAGCTTGGCATAGCAATCGCTCTAGGCTGACTCACTGAAAGCGTCAGTTTTATTATCCTAGATGGACTTAAGGAACATTAAAGATTCCTACGTGAGGAAGAGAGAGATCCCCTTCAGTTCGGAGCAGAAGTGGATGGCAGTCCAGTGTCAGCCCAAGAACGAGGTGAGTTTGCTTCCCTGCCCCTTTCTGCCCGATTCTCGGGCAAGGATTGAAAAAATTATGGAACTCTGGCTTTAAAAGTGGAAGCTCGTTATCATTTTGCCTCTCTTTTCTCCTTACCCATCTCCCCCCCCCCCCCAAAGTAACTCCCCTTCATGGTCTGGGACAGAGTGTTCCAAAATAGACGTCTAGTAACCAGTCACATACCTAAAACATAACACTGGCTGACATGTGACCAGTTAATGAAACGTACTGTATCCTCTGATCGACATTAATGAGGCGACTTAACGTACGGAGGGATGGGGGTACAAAGATCAGCCCCGTTCCTTTTATGGGCTGTGTAGTATTCCACCCGTGGATTTCCTGTAATTGATCTCATCTGTCCTATACTGAGGAAAACTGACAGGCGACTGTAAGTAGCCCTGCCATGAACATCTCTGTGGATGAGGTAGGTGACAGTCACGAAGAGCTGAAGCATCCAGGGATAGATTTTTTTTTTTTCCTCCCTTTTGTCTTTTTCAGGAACAGGAAGACATTTACTTCATGAAGGGGGCCTTTGAAGCAGTGATTCGTTACTGTACCACGTACAACAATGGGGGCATCTCCTTGCCACTGACACCCCAGCAGAAATCCTTCTGGCAGCAGGAAGAGAAGAAGATGGGGTTTATTGGCCTGCGGGGTCAGTGCTGGTGGCTCAGCCCCAAGCTTTAAGTTTGCACATGACACTGACTTTCCAAGCACATCGATGCAGGGTCCTTAGTCAGGAAGGAGCTTGGAGAGAACGGCACGCAGGCAGTGGCCAATGAAAGTGAAGCAAGTGTGGAATTGACAGGGACCCCCCGCCCCCGCAGTGACACCCATTCATCCAGGTGCAGCTCGTGAGGAGGAAGAGGTGAAACCCTGCCTGCCGGGTTTTCTAAGACAGGTGACTGGGACGCCCCAGAAAAACCGATTTTCCTGATGGGCCTTCTTGCTCATCGTTTCCTGTCAGGAGAACCTAGAGCGCTTTTAAATCAAGGCAGACGTTTCATTCCTTGGCCATTTCCAATTCTCTGCACCAGGGCCTGTGCCTTCCCCGATGGACTGAGCCCTGACAACCACCTTTTTCATGGCCATTTCATGGCCCGTCCGTTTCAGAGAGAGGGTCAAACACCCCCCGGAACACTTGTCTTCCCTCCGGGGCAAAGGTCACGCATCGGGCTTGCCCCCTTGGTTTCCACGGCCTCGGTTTCCCCTTCAGGAACACAGACTGTACACTGCCGGCAACTTGCTGACAAGTGTGCAGGGTGGGGACTTCTCAGCCTTAGGAAAGGGAGGAATGGCACCTGTGTCACCGGCGCATGGCTGGAGGCCTCCGGGCCACAGCCCCGTCCGTTCTCTGTAAGGTACGGACTACGGTTCTCACGCCGCCCCCCGAGGAGCGCCCGCCCCAAGGAGCTGGGCCCGGCTCTGTGCCACTGAGACAGCCCTCCACCCATGTCCCCTCCTGCACGGTTTGTTAGCCTGGGGTAACTGCTGTCCCCAGTCCATGGCGGTGACCAAAGGAGGGCGGAGCGAATGACAGGCCAGGAGAGCTGTTGGAAACGTCCCGGCGGGGGCCAGCGCTCGGACTGCCTCGCGGCCTCCCTTGGGGAGGGGAGGGGCTTCGTTGCCACCACGGACAGAGGTCTTATTTTCTGCCAGGGGGTTGTCTCTAGCCTCTCTCTCTCTCTCTCTGGGGGTGAGACCCGCTGCCCAGCACAGGCCTGCTGGCCACTGCCGAGATCTCTGCCCCCCCTTTGTAGTCCGGGAACTCAGGCAGGAGTGTGACAGTGGGGTCCGGGCTGACGGGGGTAAAATCAGTCCCCTCATCCCCCAGTGACACTCCTGTGGGTCTGGCCTCTCCCCAGTGCTGGCCCTGGCTTCTGGGCCCGATCTGGAGCAGCTGACCTTCCTGGGTCTCGTCGGACTCATCGACCCTCCAAGGGTGGGTGTGAAAGAGGCGGTGCAGGTTCTCACCCAGTCCAGCGTGTGCGTGAAGATGATAACGGGGGATGCCATGGAGACCGCCTGTGCAATAGGTAACGGGAAGGGGGGAGGGGGAGGGAGAAAGACCGGCCATCTTTTACAGTGGGGTCGCTACCATTGGTTAATCCTTGACAAACCTGGTCAGGCATGCTCACCTTCTCGGTGCTTAGGAAAGATTCTAAGATGCGTGTACCGGCATTCCACCTTCAAAGGCCGTGGTCTCCAAAATGTTGGCAGATTCTCCAAAAGGGGAAAAGACCTCATGTATAATGAGAACCACTGTGTGCCAGGGCTTTTCATCCATGATCTTCACAGGCTGTGTTGATCCCAGTGTATAGTTCTAGTCTGGCTTCTGCTATCTGCTGTGTACCCTTGGCAAGTCATTGAACCACTCTGACCCTCGGGCTCTTCATCAGCAGAGGGCTAGTTAGCAACCCTTTCCCATTACTCTGCTTGTTATTGCTGACAGTTGTCACACCTTGGTTTTCTTGCCCCTCTGGGTTGGGGCAGCCTGGCACTGTGGAACCAGACAGAACCCTGCCAGGTTCCAGCTCTGTGACCTTGGGGAAGTTACTTCCTTCTCAGTTTCCGGATCTTTAAGAGGGATAAGACGGCCTTTGCTGTGGGTTGATTCTGTGGTTCACGTGAGATCATGTAGCATAGCAGGTGCTCAGTAAATGGTAGCCATCGTCGTTTTGTTCTTGTTACTCTGACCAAGGCAGGGACTGCTGTCAGGTGAGGGGCGCGAGGGTTAGGGTTACGGCCACAGCTGCAGGCCCTCAGAATGGACTCTCCCCACCCCACAGCCAAGAGCATCGGCCTGTGCACCAAGAAGACAAGCATCATGTCCGGGGAGGAGGTGGAGAATATGGAGCAGAGCCAGCTGGCTGAGCACGTCAACAAGGTGGGAGCCTCCCAGGGCTCACTGGGAAACAGTGGAGGGGTTATGTTTCCAGCTTCGCACTCGCTGACTCTTCTCTTTCATACCTTTACATCCAGATATCTGTCTTCTACAGGACCAGCCCGAAGCATAAACTCAAAATCATAAAGGTAAGCTGTGTGGGGGACAGGTCCTGCCTCACTTGTCCTTCAGGGTACAGTCCAGGCGGCAGCGGCGGCTCCGCTCTGCAGGATGGTCCAGGGCCCAAGCTGTGGCTTCCTCCTCTGGGTCCAGGGCAGCTGCATCAGCCTCTGGGGAGGGGAGAACTGGGGGCCCTGTCCCCCATACACTGAAATCAGGGAGCGGGAGTTGGGTGATGCAAAGGGAAAGATAAAGAGAGGCTGGCCTTTGTTAGTCGCGTGTTCATTGGCATATTCTGTGAGTTAACTCCAGGCCTTAGTCTTCTTGTCTGTCAAGTGGGGATAAGGTGAATGACATCAGCTAATTCCCAAGGTTGGCGAGAGGATCCAAGGAAATCAGGCCTGTGAAGCTCTTGGCACAGTGCCTGGCACACAGCAGGTGCCAAATAAAGAGTGGATCTGATTTTTGGATTGTGCATCATGAAACAGAAGTGCTGGAATGAGAGTCCTGGAAATGTTCTTGGTCTCCCGCCCACGTATACTTTGAGGATTTGCTCTTTAACTCTGTTGGAGTCGTGTTGTTTCTTTTATGTTGTTCTTTTCGTTCTAGAGAGTAAATCTCTATGCAAGTTATTCCTCAAAGAAAATGTTGGGCGCCACATGGTTTCAGGGGACAGGTTGATTATTATTGGTTAGTGGTGATGGCTGACCGGTCAAGCCTTCACTATTGCAGGGCACTGTCACATCCGGGGTCTTAGTTTAGGCCTAACCTCGGCCCTGGGAAGGAGGCACCGTTGCTCCCATTTTGCAGATGGAGGAACTGAGATGGAGAGATTCAAGGCTTGCCCAGTTCCCACAGCTAGTGTGGATGGAGCCGGGGTCAGACTCAGGCCAGCTGGCGCCAGTGCCCTCCAGAAAGGGGTCTCTGCTGTCGGCCACACAGTGTGAGAGGCAGGGCGTCAGGAGGGAAGGAAGGATCCGGAAGGAAGGGCCTCAGGTCACTTCCACTCCCCTCCTCTTTCCAAAGGCTTTGCAGGATTCGGGGGCAATTGTGGCCATGACGGGGGATGGGGTGAATGACGCAGTGGCCCTGAAGGCGGCAGACATTGGAATCGCCATGGGGAAGATGGGGACAGATGTCAGCAAAGAGGCTGCCAACATGATCCTGGTGAACAATGACTTCTCAGCCATCATGTAAGTTGCCCTTTAGGTGTTTTTTAGTGGCAAAAACCTGTGGGTTAAGCAGCTGTGCTATCGATACAGGGTGTCCCCAGGCCCAAACACCACTCAGAGCAGGGTCACAGGGGCCACCCTGGGGCTAGTGGCCGGCAGCAGCCAGGGGACTGTTACGGAAGGTGCAGCAGAGCCCTGTGCCCTGCGCGGGCTGCACCACACGCACAAGGAAGCCGTGGATCACCCTAAATGCCAGCAGCAAGAGATGGGAATACGGCGTGGCTGCTAGAAAACCCACTTGGAAGAATTTTATTTTTTTTAATTTTTTTCCCTCTATTGATTTTTTTAGAGAGTAGGAAGTGAGAGGGAGAGAGAGAGAAACATCGATGAGAGAGAACATCAATTGGCCGCCTCCTGCATGCCCCCCACTGGGGATCAGGCCCACAACCTGGGCATGTGCCCTGACCGGGAATCGAACCGGCGACCTCTTGGTGCATGGGTGGATGCTCAACCGCTGAGCCACAACGGCCGGACTGAAGAACATTTTAATGGCAGAGAAATACTCACACTGTGGTGTTCAATGAGAAACACTGGAAATGAATATATTCCATTTGAGAGAAATGAGTCTATTCAGTTTGAGTCTAGTGTTACGTTGATATGTACATTTCATGCACACAGAAAAGATTAGACAGAAATGCCCAAATTATGAACACCGATGTGGTCTAAGTAAATTACAGTAATTGGGGGTGGGGGAAAAAAACTCTTCCTAAAGTTTGGTGTGACTGTCAACTCGACCAAAGGAATCTTTTCTTTACAAATGGATTCACCATTGGAATTCATAAGACAGTTCCTGTTAGTGAGAAAATGTAGTTAACATATAGCTCTACCGCTTTTGTTCCTTTGCAAAAAATTTTAGTTAAAAAAAAAAAAATAGGAGGGATTAGACAGTTTTCTGCTACATTAGTGCCAAGAGCCTTCTAAATGTACAGCAGACGGCTCTTCCTGCTGGGCCCCTGGACTGACTTACGGATCCCTTGGCTTTGCTATGCCTCGTCATGGGTGAGCCACAGAGGTGCGCTAGGTACTTCGGGAGTCCTGTGTAAGGGCCGAGTCCCCGGGCTTGGATGACAGTCATTTACAGTCTTCAGACAGAAGAATGACCATGGCTCGGGAAGTGTCCCCGAGAATGCCAGGAGGGAGGGTCCAAGCATGGACCCGCCTTACAGCCGACAGCTGGCTGACCCTTCCCCCGGGCCCTCTCTGGGAGTGAAGGCTTTCTCCTCTCTTGCAGAAGTGCAGTGGAAGAAGGCAAGGGCATTTTCCATAACATCAAGAACTTCGTCCGATTCCAGCTGAGCACGTAAGTAGAGGCTAGTCTCCCAGTGCCGTCAGGGGCTGCGTCTGCTCCCGGCGAGCAGCCATTGACAGTGCCCTGCTCTGCTGCTTGTGCCCTGCAGGAGCATCTCGGCCTTGGGCCTCATCACTCTGTCCACCATGTGCAACCTGCCCAACCCCTTCAATGCCATGCAGATCCTGTGGATCAACATCATCATGGACGGGCTGCCAGCACAGAGGTGAGGCACCGGGTGGGCCAGGACCACCACAGCTACTTTGTGCAGGGGCCCGGGGCTAGAGGTGGGCAAACACCATCACTGGCCATAAGGAACCCCAGAAAAGTTAAGTGTGATATGCTGGGCCCAGGGGCAACGCCTAAGCAGGCAGGGTGGGGGATAGTGGAACATTCTCCCTGGGCTAGCTGCATGGCCCAATCCTTTTCATTTAGGTCACCGCCTTCGAGAAGTCCTCCGTGATCACTCTAACATCATTCTCCTCATTCTTAGTCACCTTCCCCTGCTTTATTCTCCCCCCGACAGGAAATATGTATTTCCTTGCTTATCTGGTTATATATAATCCATCTTCCCTTTAGAATGTTAGCTTGTGGAGACGAGGTTGTGTTCCCTGCAGTACCCCAGCATAGACGAGGAGCTCAGTAAAAACTGGCTGAAGGAGCGCGCAGGGGGAGTTGGGCGAGCCGAATGGTGCCGGAGGAAGACGGGGGCAGGGGGCAGGAAGGCCAAAACTGACAGGCACTTCGCTGGGCTTGGGCACATAGGCGGTGTTTCAGATGTAGCGGATTTCTTGTTACTCTTATTAATCATCACCAGTGACACCTGCTGAGGGGAGGAGGGGTGGCCTTTGTCGTCTCCCCCATGCCCAAATTGGGGATCCCTATTCTACACGCTCCTCCATGCCCCCACCACCTCCCACTGTCTCAGTGGGGAAGGCAGTGGCCCTCAGTCGATGGGGCGCTCGGGATGGGCAGGGCCTGGATCCTGTTTCTCCTGGGCAGCTGGGTCTCCTCCTGGTGATGGGAATTGAGCAGAGGAATGACTAGGTGTGGGTCACGGGGTGTGCAGATGGAGGAAGGCGGGTTGCCAAGGTGGGGAGGACAGGCTCCCAGCAAAGATGTGGAGGTCCCCACGAGACTGAAGACCCCACTGCCGGCTCACATGGGACATAGAGGCACTTGCCACCTCCGTCCTGGCCGTGCTGTTGATGACGTGAGCACGTCTCTGCTTCAGGTTTCGTTTCAGTGGTTTATTCCAAAGTTTCCTGTTTTGTCCCGAGCAGTTTGGGGGTAGAGCCAGTGGACAAAGACGTCCTCTGGCAGCCACCGAGGAAAATCAAGGCCATGATCCTCAACAGAGCCCTCATGGTGAAGATCCTCCTGTCAGCTTTGGTCATCATCAGTGGGACCTTCTTTATCTTCTGGAAGGAGGCAAGTCCACCCTGGCTCCACTCGGTCCAAGCCTGGGCGGTGGCTGGTTCAGGGCCGGGTCTGTAGGAAGCAAGGTGGACAGTCCCCGCTGGGGGATGACAAGCGTAGGTATACAGAGTAGCTTTGGGGATGGGCCGGGGTTGACTTTGCAGAGGTGGGAAGAGGCAGGAGGGATAGGAGGCCTCAGGGGCAAAGAATTCAGGCTTTTTTCTAAATGGGACACATGCCTCTGTCACCAGGAAACAATTTGAAATCTACTCAAGCTCCTTATTCCCTGAGGGGGTTGTTGGCAGGATCTTTTTAGTGACTTTTTTTTTTTTATCCTCACCCGAGGACATTTTTCCATTTTTTGCTCAGGTAGAGTGGGAGGGAGAGAGAGGAACAGAGAGAGAGAGAGAAACATCGACGTGAAGGGACATATCGAGTGGCCGCCACCCGCACGACCAACCAGGGCCGGGGACAAACTGCAACCGAAGTACGTGCCCTTAGCGGGAACCGAACCCGGGTCTCTCCGGACCGCAGGCCGACGCTCTAACCGCTGAGCCAAACTGGCCAGGGCGGCAGGATCTTATTAGGGGTCTTTTTACGGCCTGCAGGTTCAGGGAGCCCCACCCCGAGCCATCCAGTGATCTGGATGGAATGAGACAGGTGACCGTCCAGACCTTTCACCCCAGTTGGCCGTGTGCAGGAAGGGGGGGAACACTGGACCGCCACCATTCTGGAACAGCTCTCCTCAAAATCTTCCCCTGCCCTGAGCCTTGTGGAGGGAGACACAGTTGTCCCCTGCACAGGGTCCCCGCAGCGGTATCAGTGCCCCAGACCTTGTGAGAAATGCAGACTCTCAGGCCCTCCGAGTGGCCCTGTTCTAACAGTTTGCTCCCGTGTGAACCTCTGGGCCAGACAGGGCTCATCGCCCCCTCTGCCAGGCAAAGGGCAGTCCCGGCAGCATGGCCAGAGCCTTCTCACCCTGGGCTCCAGCCCGCCCCTTCGGTGTCAGCCAGGACGAGACCCGAGACAGCGAGGGGTCTGTGGCTTTGTTCACTCAGCCCCCAGGCCTTAGTTCTCCATGGGTTCGGGGTGCTGCAAAGTGGATGTAACTCACGTCCTGGGAGGCAAGGTCTCCCCTCGAGCACGCAGTTCCGGGGGAAAGGCTCATGGCCCCTCCCAGTGCTGGCAGAGGGTGGGGTCCTGGGATGGTTTGGGAGACATCCTTCTGGGTCACACCAGTGGACTCAAGACTGAAGGGAGGCTTTCGATCAATTCCCAGTCAAACCGCAGTGCTGTGGTCTGAACACGAGCGGCGTTACGGAGGCGCCACCCCCGGGCCCCCGGGAAGGGTGTTCATGGCAGGGGACAGCATCACCTCAGCCCATGCACTTGTGTTCCAGGTCTCTGAAGACAAGACCAGCACCCAGCGGACCACGACCATGACCTTCACCTGTTTTGTGTTCTTTGACCTCTTCAATGCCCTGACCTGCCGCTCTCAGGTGAGACCTGCAGCCCGCAGGGCCATCTCAGCGTCCTGCCCTGTGCCCTGAGACCGGTCCCTGCCGCGGGCGCTCTGGCACCGGCGTGCTGGTCTGAGACGGCCCCGCGCCCTTCTCCCGCAGACCAAGTTGATATTCCAGATGGGCTTCTTCCAGAACCGCATGTTCCTGTACTCGGTGCTCGGGTCGATCCTCGGGCAGCTGGCCGTGATTTACCTGCCACCCCTGCAGAAGGTCTTCCAGACGGAGAACCTAGGAGTGCATGGTGGGTAGGAGGGTGCCTGCACTGGGTAGGAGGGCCACTGACAGGGACATGGACCGCCCAGGGCACTGCAGAGAAAGGTGCCTCTAGCAGGACGGCCCAGGGCAAGGGGGCTCAGAGCACAGATGGCAGGTGCAGTGACCGTCGGGCTCCGCCTGTGGCGCGCTGTGTGCCCCAGCTGAGGAGGGATTCCGCACGGGCAGTGGGGTTTAACCAGGGCCATTGTGACTTGGACACCTGCTTACCTAAAGACGAGGAGTTGGCCATCCAGTTGTTCTTGCTGAAAGGGACAGGATTTAATGACAGGCTCTCCACCCTGGTCTAGGCTGCCCTGCAGACCCTCATTCTCTCTTTGGAAGCTGCCCAGGGTGGCTTGCCTCCTTTGCCTGAAGCTATGATGACAGCAGAAGTGGGAGGAAGTCACCTAGAGAGAGACCGTGACCACAGGGACTTGGAGAGAACAGGGCAGATACCACCCCCTCCCGCCTCCTCCCTGTACTCTCCCCCGACCTGTCCTCGGCCGCCCCAGGCAGAGCAAGGGGGTCTGAGGCAAGTGTCAGCTCTTCCCAGAATCTAAAAAGCAGTGCCCAGGCGGGTCTCCTGTGGGCACAGACGTTGTAATAGAGGTTTCCATCCAACGCGGCAGGAAGCACCATGACCGTGCGTGGGCACCACACCTGTCTCAAATCACTGATGACAGGAAGCTAGGGATGGCTCTGGACAATAAGATACAGTGGGGTCAGGGGTGGTCTTTAGGGGTTAACGCACTAGAACAAGTCAGGGTGGGCTGGGGGGCCAGAAGCGATGGTTAAGGGGCGTCTGCCCCAAGAAGGGGTGGGAGGCTAGCATCCATTACAGGGGACCTTGGTAACATGCCCACTGCCCTGAGCCACCGGGAAAGGCGACGGGTCCTTGCGGAGCTGGTGCAAGGGAATGGGAAGGGCTGGTCCCCAGCTGCTGGCCCCTGTGCCCGTCTCCCTGGAAGGAAGGACGAGGGGTAGGGAGCAGCCGCAGCAAAGGCTCCCGAGAGCTGCAAGGCCGAGTCCTGGGCAGAGCGGGCTGGTGGCCAGGGACAGGGGGACAGCCTGAGCTCTCTGACCCTTTTCTCTCCTCACCTTCTTACAGATTTGATGCTTTTAATCAGCTTGACCTCATCTGTGTTCATTTTGTCAGAGCTCTTCAAACTATGTGAAAAATTATGCTTCGCCTCCAAGAACTCCCAGATTCACCTCGCAGATGTGTAGTGGACCCCAACCAGTGTACGATCCCCTAAATAAGCTATATTTTTATGTGACTGCAGCCCCTCCCCCCCTCTCCAGAGGGTGTTTTTAGGACACCGCAGCATTAGGTCACTCACTGAGTTCTTCTGGAAGCCAGCAGGAGACTCAGGCCGCATCCTCACTCTCCCTCCGGGCGCCGGGCCAAAAACACCTCTATTTATTAAACGGCAGTGATTTTTGTAAGCCACGTCTGCCTGTGCACGCACTACGGCTCAACGCAACGCAGCCCTCTCGTGAGGAATGCGGGGTCCCTGGCAGGACGGGGAGACGGGGGGCGGGGCACAGTCATGTCTCTGCTCATGGACCCCTTTCGGGCCCCATCTCCTCCTCCACAAAATGGGGGTGTTGGGTATTTTCATCAGGTGCTAGGCCAGAACGTGATGATTATTTTGATGGATTTAGTGAGTGTTTTCTCTGTAAGTGGCCAGGTTGGTTGGAAACGCACAGCCTTGTGCTCATCCCCACATACATGGTGAGAAGCACTCACAGCCCGAATGAGGGCCCCAGCGTTTCAGATGAACAGTGAGCGGCCTGTCCCTTAGAACCAGGAACTGGGATATCTCCTCCTGTCTGGCAGTCATTACCCACTGCCCGGACTGTTGTTAAAATCGAGTCTGTCCTTCTAGCTGCAGGATGGCAGAGCAGAGTGGTCTGTCCACTCCTCTGTCTGCAGCTGGACAAAAACCACCACGGAGAGCCAGAAATGAAACTCCCATCTTTCAGGAAGTGAGGCCACAATGATAACCCCCCGTTATTAACCAGGGTGTTCTAGAAAAGCTGTACCAGTGGGATGGAGGAGGGAGCACTGTTTAGGAACTGGCTCACGTGATCGCTGGGCAGGCCGACAGGCTGGAGACTCAGGAAAAAGGGTCAACACTGCCGCTCGAGTTCGAGTCTGAGGTGGAGCTCCTTCCTTCTCGGGGATCAGTCTTGTCTCTCAAGCCTTCAGCTGATTGGAAGAGGCCCACCCTCATTATGAAGGTAATCTGATTTATTCGAAGTCTATTGACTTAAAGGTTAATCCCATCTAAAAATATCTTAAAAATTACTGTTAACATCTAGACTGGTGTTTGACCAAGTAACTGGGCACCACAGCCTAGGTCAAGTTGACACATGAAAATAACCATCACACGTGGCCACAGCCACTGTCAGACAGACTGCCCGGGACAGTGAAACCTGGGTGAGATCCGGGTAAAAGTCAGAGCGAACCCCTGCAGCTCCCAGAGTCCTCCAATGTAATATCCACAGCCCAGGGGGTAGGTCACATGGTCCTCTGCACCGCCCCCCCAAGTGACATCAGAGCTCAGTGGGGAGAGACATGCATGTGCCATCTCTGCAAAAGGAAGGCCGAGGGAGGGGCTGGCTGCAGAAACCTTCCAGCAGGGGTGATATCTGCCCGGCAGCTGCCAACCTTCGGCACCTGCTGAGCGGTCAAGACCAAATTATTTCTCACAGGAAGCCTGCCACGGGGCCTTGCTCTGCTGCCCCTTCTCTCTCTCTTTAGGATCCTTCAGCAAAGTGATCCAAGAAATAGGCTTCCCCTTAAAAAATAAGACAGAACCAGAGTCGATTGACATTTGCATTAACAACAACAAAAATTACTATTAACCCTTAGTTATACCATACGAAAGAAAACCCAAGGTAGGTTGTAAATGGAAACGATAAAGAAGTAAAATTTGACTACATAAAACACAATACGAGTCATAACGTATAATGGATAAATCAAACTATACTCAAATGAAGACCTTTTCATCAAGTCCACTGGAACACCATTAAGCAATTTCGCTTGACTTGCATTTATAAAACACTCCACACATCAAGTGCAGAGGAACAGTCACCAAAATAAAAATAGTAAAGAGCAGAAACCAGTGAGGTTGAAGACAAAAATAGAGGAAAAATCAAAAGCGAGTTCTTTGAAATGATCAATAAATGTGCCAGTCTCGCTAAAGGCTTATCAAAAGAAAAAAAGAGACATTACCAATCTTAGCAATGAAAGATGGTCCATCATTTTATACCCCTCAAAGTATTCCAACAAGAAGGGAATACTAAGAATGATTTTATGTACATACATTAACAAGTCAGAGGAAATAAACCAATTCCTTGAAAATCACAAACTACCAAAATTCACTGAAGATGAAATAGATAAGTAGTCCTATAACTAGTAAAGACAATAAAATTGTATTTAAAATTCTACCCCAAAAAGGAAATCTGGTTTCATTGGTAGATTTTACTTAACATGTAAAGATATAACAATTCTACACAATCTCTTCCAAAAAATAAACAGAGGAGAACACTTCTCATCTTAGTTTATGAGGTCAGTATTCCCTAATACCAAACCAGATAAATATAGACCAACATGTCGCATGAACACAGATGCAAGAATCCTCAGTGAAATATTAGCAAATTGGATCCAGCCATGTGTAAGCAGTACAAGACACCATGACCAAGTAGGGTTAATCCAAGAATAGAACGCTACTTCAAAATTTAAAAATCAATGTAATCATCATAGTAATAGTCTAAGGAAGGAAAACCACATGGTCATATCAACTGAAGCAGAAAAAGCATTTGATAAAATTCAAACCCCATTTATGATTAAAAACTCTCAGCAAACTAGGAATAGAAGGGAACGTTATCAACATGATAAAGCGCATCTACAAAAAACAAAAAAAAAAAACACCTATAACTAACATACATAATGCTGAAAGACTGAATGCTTTCCCCATAAGATTAGGAACAAAGCAAAGATGTCCAGCCTCACCACTCCTATTCTTCATGGTACTGGAATTCCTAGCCAGTGCAATATGGCAAGAAAAAATTAAAAGGCATGGAAAGAAGAAAAGAAAACTGATCCGATTAACAGATGACATTAATGTCTATGTAGAATTCCCAAGGAATCTAAACCAAAAACCTTTCTAGAACGAATAGGTGAGCCTAGTAAAGCCGCAAGATACGATATTAACACAAAAATCACTTGTATTTCTATATACTAGCAATGAACAATTGAAATGTAAAATTTAATAGCATTTTCAATTTTTAAAAACTGAAATAGGTATAAACAAAACAGGTATAGGATCTATGTGATGAAAACTACAAAATGCCAATGAAAGACATCAAAGAACACCTTTTTAAAAAATAGACATACTGCCCAGCTGGTGTGGCTCAGTGGTTGAGCGTCAACCCATGCACCAGGAGGTTGCCAGTTCGATTCCCGGTCAGGGCACATGCCCAGGTTGTGGGCCAAATCACCAGTCAGGGGTGCATGCTGGAGGTGGCCAATCAATATTCTCTCTCATAGATGTTTCTATCTCTCCCTCTCCCTTTCTCTCTCTCTAAAATCAATAAAGAAAAAAATTTTAATAAAAAATAGACATACTGTGTTCAAGGACTTAAAAAATGACTGTTCTCCCTAATTGGTCCATAGATTTAACACAATTACCATGAAAATCTCAGCAGGGTGTTTTGTTTTTAAACAATTATATTCTAAAATCCATATGAAAAGACAAAAAAAAAAAAAAGCTAAAATGATTTTGAAACAGGAATAAAGTTGGAAGAAACATGTTTCTTGATTTTAAGATTTACTGTATGACTACAGTAATGAAAACACTATGATATTGGTAAAGTGATAAAACACATTGAACAGAATTGATTCCAGAAATAGTGCAACACAGCGTCAACTGATTTCTGACAAAATCCAGAATGAATTCAACAGAGAAAAATAATTATGTCAACAAATGATGTTAAAAATGGACATTCATGTGTGAAAAAATTCTTTGACCTAAAACTTATACCTTTTTTTTTTTTTTCATGTTTTTATTGATTTTAGAGAGAAAGGAAGGAAGAGGAAGACAGAGAAACATCAGTCAGCTGCCTCCTGCACAACCCCTACTGGGGATCAAGCCTACAACCCAGGCATGTGCCCAGACCAGGAATTGAACCAGGACCTCTCACTCCATGGGAGCATGTTCAATCCACTGAGCCACAATGGCCAGGCAAAACTCATACCTTCTACAAAAGTTAATTCAAAATGGACCATAGACCAAAACATTCATATAAACAGAAAAACCTTTGAGATCTAGGGTTAAGCAAAGAGTTCTTAGACATGACACCAAAAGTACCATCCATAAAAAAGGAAAATTGATCAATTGAATTTCACCACAATTAAAAAGTTCTCATGAAAGTTATATTTAAGAGAATAAAAAATACAGACTGGAAGAAAAATATTTCTAAATAGCATATGCAACAATGGACTTGGATCCAGAATATTTTTTTAAGTTCAAATTTTTAACACTTAAAAAATTTTAGAAACACGGCAAAAGTCTCAAACCGAGTCTTCACCAAAGAGGACATACAGATGGTAAATAAGTACATGAAAAGATGTTCAACATCATTAGCCAGTAGGAAAATGCAACTTTGACCCACAATGAGATATACTACACACCTATTACAATGGCTGAACTAAAAAAATATTGACAATACTAAGTGCTGACAAGGTTGCAGAGCAGCTAGAATTGTAAATACTGCTGGTGAGAATGTAAATGCTATGGCCACTCGAGAACAGTTTGGCCAAGTCCTGTAAAGTTAAACCTACACTTACTAAAATGACCCAGCAATCTTACTCCTAGGTACTAATCCTAGAGAAGGGTTGTGTTCATACAAAAATCTATATATGAATGTTATTGGCAGTTTTATCCGTAAGAGCCAAATCTTAGAAGCAACCCAAATATCCTTAAGTGGGTGAATCAATAAAGAAACGGTGACCTATCCATACAATGAAGTATTACCCAGCAATGAAAAGGAACATGCATATCACAATTTGGATGGACCTCATGGGTATTATGCTGAGTGACAGAAGCCAGTCTTATAAGGTTACATACTATGTGGCTCCATTTACGTAACATTCTCAAAGTGACGTGTATCATGATGGAGAATGGATTGGAGGTTGCCAGAGATTAAGATTAGGAAGGTGTAACTATAAAGGGGAGACTTGAAGGAGTTTGGGGGAGGGGGAGGTAATACATCTTGATTGTAGTGGTAGTTACATAATCTAGGCATGTACTAAAATCCCACAGAACGTGTGTATATGCAATACTGCTAAATAAAGCAGGGCTCAAAGAAAAATAGCTATATATTCATTTAACAATCAACTCTAAAAAACTGACAGAAAAATAAACATAAGCAATAATATGAAAGCAAAATTAATTTTTAAAAATTGGGTAGGACATAATCTCGGAAAGATGAAAGAAAAGTAAGAGACAGAACCCACAAAAGATTTCAAATATCTTAGTCAATCCTATAGAAATTAATTTGAAGATTTAAATAAAATGGGACATTTGGAAGGAAACATAAAAGTTATCAGAACTGATCGCAGTAGAAATTTGAAACAACCCAGATGATAAAAGCAATGGATAAGGTCATCAAGGGTTAACCCCGTCCTTATCTACCAAATGAAAATGTACCAGGTGAATTTTACCCAAACTTTGAGAAATGCCTTTCATTTGCATTTTCTAGAACCTGGTAAAGGGAATAGTTCTAAATTATTTTTGTAAGGCCAGCACAACTTTAAAACTAAAGCATGATTTACAGAAAATCTGACCAAAACAAACTACAGACCAACTCATTTACACATATTGCTACACAAAGACCAAACACAGGCCAACTGAATTAACACACTGTCAACATCTACTGATAGAAACCTTTTAATGACATAAACACAAGTGGATACTTCCTTTTACTTGAAAATATTTATACATATGAAATATCTCAAACCAGCCAGCATCATAAAAGACTTTATAATAAAAGTCATTAATAAAAGACTAGATGAATTTCCATTAATGAGAAGGATATATCATTTTAAAGTTCTAAAAATATTTGCTGATACAATTAATCAAAAGAAAGGAATAAAATGTCTAGATATCAGAAGAGTAGGGAAGTTATCGTTATTTCCAGGTATTTCATAATACCTGCAATCACATGTTGTATACTGCCTGAAAATTTCAGTGTTCTATGTCAATTATATCTCAGGAAATCTGGGGGGGAAAGAAATAGATATTTTGCAAGCCAAAACACAACAGGGAGACATCTTGAAAGTGGTTGGGGAGAAAATACATCAAAATATCTTTCAAAAAGCAAAACAAAAACAATACGTCAGAAGTTAAGGCAAGCCCTTGCCGGTGTGGCTCAGTTGGTTGGAGCATCATCCCGTGCACCAAAGGGTTGTGGGTTCAATTCCCAGTCGAGGCAAGTACAGGAGGCAGCTGACTGATGTTTCTCTCTCACACATCGATGCCCCCCCCCCTCTCAAATCAAAATATTTTTTAAATGAAAGCAAAATACTTGCAACAATAAAAAATAAGCCCGGCCAGTATGGCTCAGTGGTTGAGCATCGATCCATGCACCAAGAGGCTGCTGGTTAGATTCCCAATCAGAGCACATGCCCAGGTTGTGGGCCAACCCCAGTGAGGGGCATGCAGGAGGCGGCCAATTGATGTTCTCTCTCATCCATGTTTCTGTCTCTCCCTCTCCCTTCCTCCCTCTCTAAAATCAATAAAGAAAATAAACTTTTCTTAATAAAGGCAAAATAAAGCTTTCAGACCAAAAATTAACAAATAAATAAAATCATAATACCTGCAAACTCCCAGGGAATCCTAGACAATCAAAAACAACGAACCGCAGTGGTTCTCATTGTGAGGTTCCAGGACCAGAAGCATCAGCATCACCGGGGATTTTTATTAGAAATATAAATTCTTGGATCCCTCCCTCCCAGACCTACTGAATCAAACTCCAGGGGTGGAGCCCCACAATCTGCGTTTGAAGCAGCCCCCTAGATGATTCTGATGCAGGCTCGGGATTAAGAACCGCTGGATGAACATATTCAGCAACGTAAACTGGGTACAAAACTATGCAAGCAAATTAAGAGCTTTCCTATAGTCAATCATCTTAGGAAAAAAAGATCCACTTACAGGGCCAGCAATGACAACAAACATCTATGTAACAGACTTAGACATCCCTGTCCTTGGAGAGGACATTTTTAGCCAAGTGTCAGTTCTGCCCACATTAATCTATATTTAATGCGGTCTTGAAAGTGCTGCTACCGACTTTAGAAGTCAAGTGCTCCCATGGGAGACAGAAAATAAACAGGCAAGCACATGAGGGAAAATTCCAAAAGACGTAGTCTTAGGGGAGTGGCTCTTGCATCGTTTTATCATAAAACTCCAGTAAGGGAAATAGACAAAAATCTAAGTTCATTCATAAATGCAGTTAATGAGGAAATAGCACTTTAAGTCCGTGGAAAAGAGACATACCATTTCATATAAAAAGTACAGGAATGTACTTTGGAGAAAGACAGAGGTCTCCTTTAAAATACATTGTGGCCCTGGCCGGTTTGGCTCAGCGGTTAGAGCGCTGGCCCGTGGACCAATGAGTGGAGGGTTCAATTCCGGCCAAGGGCACGTAGTTCGTCCCCGGCCCTGGTCAGGTAGTGTGGGGGCAACCAGTCGATGTGGCTCTATCACACTGACGTTTCTCTCTGTCTCTCTCTCCCTCCCTCCCTCCCTCTCACTCTAGCTTATGATAAATAGAAAAGTATCCTCGGGTGAGGAAAAAAAAATATTTAAAATACATTGTGAATGGTTCAAAGATATAGACATAAAAATCGAAAGCACAGAAGCAGAAGAAAACATGGATTTTTTTTTTTTTTATCTCAAAGTGGAGGAAAACCTCAAATCTCAGAAGCCTAAAGAAATGCTGGCAAATATAATGGCATAAAATGCAAAACTTATGTAAAAAAAAAAAAAAAAAGTTGAACAAGCTAGGAAAAAAGTATTTGCCATATGTGCCAAATGTTAATTTGCCTCATTCAAAACAGCACTCTTGCAAACCAATTAGAAAACCAGATAAAAGATACAATACAGATGGTTTTTGAAAAATTAAGCCATTCACTGTCGCACATAAAAGAAACAGAAAAGGTTAGTTTTTGTGTCTCAGGTAAACAAAAACTAAATTGTAATGTAGTGTTGAATGAAAACATATCAAACAAGCACTCCAGTATGTTAAAAGTGTCAATTGGGTTAAAAAGCGTTACTGTCTAAAGAAAAATCCACATACCTTTTGATCCAACAATTCAGCTTCTAGGAGTTTATCCTCCAGACAGAAATCACACCAAGACACACACACAGGATACTCACTGCAGCCACGGTTAGCCACAAACAGGACCGGGTCGGTGAACACTAGAAATGATGCTGAATCCGTATAATGGGACATTAAGCAGTCAATGAAAACAAAGAGGAAGACAGATGGGTGAATATGGAACCATCTCCACCCAAGAAAAAGTGAGGGACACTCACAGCAGAGTGTGCAACAATCACGCTGCGTGCACCAGGAGTTACCTCCGGAAGGAGACCTAGTGGCTTTATCCTCTTGGGAAGGAGATGCTGGCAAGGGGTAGAAGGAAGACTTCCAAGTTACAGCCTTGTAGTTTGACCTATTTTACCATATATACATTGGTAATATTTTTTATTAAAATTCATGGGGGGGAATAATGGCCATGTTTGCGTCATGAACTGCATTTTTCCCCTCTTCTAGCACCTTTTTGGCACTGACTGGTCTTCATTTGCAAGGAGAATGCTGGTTCTTACAACCTGAATTATTATTCCCGGTTCATAAAAGAACATTTGTTAAAACTAGCATCCCAGATTTCCTGGTCCCGGGCGCATCAGGCCAGTGGCCCGGGCACCACTGACGCCCTGGAGGCTTGTGTGCTCAGAGCCACGGCCCACGCGAGGGCAGCATCCCCAGGTTACCAAGCCCCTGGTCTGGGCACCCCCTTTCCTCCTGGAAGTGAGCAGTCTTTGAGAGCATCTCCCCATCCGTGATCTGCTGTCCCGTTAGAGCAGGCAGCCAAACTCTAAGCCTCTCTGACAGCCACAAACACGCAGCAGTCCATGGTACTCAAGGCGCGGACACCAATGGGCCTTTTATTAGTGAGGTATGTAATTTATTTAAAAAGAAAACCATTCCACAACAAACTGAAGTTTGGAGACTTCATTTTTCAGGTTTGTGGTAAGGATAGCTGAGGATCCCAATATCCTGTACCTGCTACGCCATCGGTTAGGAAGTCGTATGATGCACCTGAGAAGCTACTCTAAACTGGCTTTTTTAAGGAAAATCACTCGTGACTGAGTCTGTGTGTCACCCCGCTGCCCCTCCATGCACCGTCCGAGCTTGTGCTTTTCTTCTGAAGCTAATGTGCAGGGCCTTCTGCTTGGTCAGGGGCACTGCTGAGTGCAAAGCTGGATTTTGAAGAACCTACAAAATGCAAACAGTGCAGTTTGCTATGGCTTGTAATGAGGGCAAACTGTGTAATAAAAGGTCAAAGTTCAGAGCCAAAGGCAAGAGGACGAGGTATGTGTCAGAGAGGCACCCACAGCTCCTTGAAGGAGAGAATGTGCAGTTGTTTATAGAGTTGTTTCGGGCCTGGGAGGGGGCAGCTTTGCTTGGAAGCCCAGCCCACCTAAGTGGCCGTGAGCATTTCAGGATCGCTGGGGTTTGCTGCGGTGGTTCTCCTCCTTCCTAATGCCGCGACCCTTTAATACAGTTCCTCATGTGGTGATCCCCAACCATAAAATTATTTTCGTTGCTACTTCATAACTGTAATTTTGCTACTGTCATGTCTGAGGTGACCCCTGTGAAAGGGTCGTTCAACCCCCAAAGGGGTCGCGACCCCCAGGTTGAGAACCCATGGACTAAAGCAAGGGAGCAGGGACCTGTCAGATGAGCAGCCCCCGCCCCTTTGGGAGCAGCACCGGGCAGGGAGGTGATGCTGACGGGTTCGGGTCAGGAGGCCCAGGACGCAGGCCAGTGCTGCCAGGTCACTCACCACTAATTTATGCAACTGGCCACATCAGGGCCTCCAAATGACCCCACAAAGATTAGTAACAGGAATACGACTTTGCTTCTCTGTTGCCCTCCTCATCTTCCCATTTGCTCATGGCACAGACTCATTTAAAAGCAGCTGAGAGGGCAGATGTGGACCCTTATAAACACCTGTTGAAGACTCATGCTCCTGTTATCTCCAAAATCTCCAGCTATTTCCTGCTCCCCTCCCCCCATTAATACATCAAAAAGCATCGAGATTCCCACCCAAATGCCTGTCCTTTACCAGTCAAAATGGAACGTCATCAAGGCACTTTACTGGGACAGCCTGGGCAGAGGGCTCGGGATCCCCGGCCAGTGGAACCCCCCTACACAAGGAACTCACATGCCCATCCAATGCTGAGTTCAACAAAGGTCTCAAGTATCTCCACGTCTCTGCTCTTCAGTGATACAAAATTAACAAAGTGGAAGAGCTAAGTTGCTTATTTGACACTCGGGATCTCCGGGAGATACACCCACTAATCAATATAGAGCACAGAGGAATTCCTGTGTTCTGATTAAGCACGTCCAGGACAACCTGGACATGACCAGCGCTGCTCTGTGTTCAAGTTAAGCACGCACAGGACGGGAGGTGGTCTGCAGGCCGTGCGCTCTGCCCAGGGGTGTCATGCTCCGCTCCTCCATCCAGGCTCCTCCTCACTCCTGGTCAGGGACTTGGCGGAGCCCTTCACTGTGGCGACTCCGCCCACTGATCTCCAGCAGGGCCTGGGCCTCGGGGTCCACATCGAGAATGCTCTTGCCACTTTTGGCCTTGGGAAAAAGGAAAGCGGGTGCAGGGTGCTCAGTGACCAGTGGTGTGCAGCCAGGACCAGGCAGTGGTGTTCTGCTGGTCTCAAGCTTGTCAGAGTGGATGGACATCACCCTGTCACCCCGGGAAGCGGGTGGGCGCTGGCTCCCTCGCTGAGGTGCCCCACCCTTGCATGCCATTGTTGGGAGGGAGAGGTGCAGAGGGCCCAATGATCACTGATTGCAGGACTAGGAGGTACCCCGATCCTCCTCATCTTGCAGATGGGGCCACCCACCCACCCCAGTTCCCACTTTGGGCGGGCCCTGCTTCCTGGGTGGTTCATCCTGTGCATCCCCGCCACCCCCCCCAACCCCAACGGGACTGTTGTGTACTCACTGGCATCCCTCTGCCCAGCAACAACTGCGGGAAACAAATTTGGGATAAACCGTCTCTAGGTGCTTCCATCAGTGAAAGGGGCAGAGAGGAGAAAGTGCAGAAAAGCCCCCCTGCTCACCGGCTGCGGGCGGGAGGTGTCTCCCACCGCCCACACCTCCATCTTCTCAAACCGGAAGTCCTCCTGGGCCGACAGCTGGGGACTGTTGTAGGTGGTGCACGTGGGCTTGGCCTTGCTGTGTCCTCTCCCGAAGTCCACGTCGACCCACAGCCCGAAGTAGTCATGCTGCCCTCCCATGCCCTGCGGAGGGAGGGCCGTCAGCATCTCCTTGGTCGGAGTGTCCGACTCCGTGCCCGCATCAGCCTTAGGTACCAGGCTGAGACCAGGGTGGAGGAGAAGTGACTGTCATTTTCTTATTTTTAACTCTGAAATATGCAGACTGGTCCGATTTACATCTCCCATTACAAGTTACTAGAACAATCATTGAGGTGTCTGGACTGCCCCCCAGGGCCCAGAAAACCCGCAGGCAGGGAGACTCGCGCCCCACAGGCCAGGGCACTGTGCTGAGGGGTGAGTCCCTCACTCTGTCAGCTACAAGGACAGAGAACAGGCAGCAGACCGGGGAGGCAGGGGACCCAGAGGTGTTCTGCTGCCCCCTGCCATTCTGCTGGCTCATGGTGATAAGAACAGAACTGCTGTCCCACCCCCTGGCCAAGTGTCTGGGTGTCACCCCCGCCATCTCTTCTCATGTCCCTGGTGGCCTGGAACTACTTTTAAGCAAGAAAACGCAGTCACTTCTCAGAGCTGCTGCCCTCCCTCGGCCTGATCATTGGCGATTCCTGGAGACCTCCTGGGTGCTCTCCTGAGGCCAGAGCCCTCGTCCCTGTGTCACCAAACTGCCCTTGCTGGGATGCGTGGGGGTCTTCAGGTGGCCCAATGGGAGGCACACAGCAAGCCTAGGAAGGAGCATGGGGGTGCTCTCCATCCTGACAAGGGGGACCCACCTTCCTGGACTCTGGCTTTGCAAGCTCAGGTCTAGAATTTTCCCAAAGGAGCTTTTTGTTAAGAAGCAGAGAAAAAAAGCCCTGGCTGGTTTGGCTCAGCAGTTAGAGCGTCAGCCCGTGGACCAATGAGTCATGGGTTCAATTCCGGTCAAGGGCACGTACTTCTGTTGCGGTTCATCCCCGGCTCTGGTCAGGTCGTGTGACACGGAGGCAACCAATCAATGTGACTATCACATCGATGTTTCTGTTTCTCTCTCTCTCCCTCCTTCCCATTCCGTCTGATGAAAAATAGAAAAATATCCTTGGGTGAGGAATAAAAAAACAAAAAAGAAGCAGAGAAAAAAATTGGCTGGAATGCTGGCAGGAGACACATTTCTCACCCACACTTAGCCAGCTCTTGGGTGCTGGACTGATGTGTATACATGGCGCTTGTCCCAGCCCCTCACCTCGGCCTGCCCCCTCGCCCACCCCAGACCCTCTGCGTGCCCTTGGCTTTCACCCTCATCCTCCTCTTCCTGTAGCTGAGTTTCCAGGCTGGAGCTCAGAGCAGACAGGAGGTGCAGTCACCCAACTGGAGCCCCCCACACTGCTTTGTGAGTTGCTGTTGACAATTCCCTATGGGTCCATGGAGCCCAACCCTGGGCATGCTCATCCCCCAGTTAAACGCCAGGGCAGCAGGGTTTCGTGACAGGTCTGACACTGACCCCATTTCCAGCCACGAAGGCCACAGACCAACCATCTGATTACCAGGAAAACTGGACCAATCCACCATTTGCACACAAACCCCCAAAACAGCCCAACAGAGGTGTTCCTTCCACAAGAGAACTTCTGTCCTAGTGGTCACTCGTCACGGCCCTGAAACCGGGCAGAATGAATGGAACATGGCACGCCTGTGTGACCGAATGACCCAGGCCCCGGAGGTGTCAGCCTGGGCGGGTCAGGGCTGTCCACCGGGAATGGACACCACTAAGGGGGGACGTCCCTGGCCCTTCTCCAGTCCTCACCAGTCCATTCGGGATGGTCTGCTGCCCCTGATTCAGGTACATGTAGTGGTCGTTGTAGCCGGTGCAGGTGTACACGGCCATGCTGGGGGAGATGGAGAACAGGAAGCATCTGTTGTCCCCTGAAAGTGACCAGAGCACAAATAAGCAGGATCACCCGTCTGAGCCGGACACGGAGACAAGCAGGGATTGCAAACTGCTCAGGAGGCAAAGGGGTGAAGACCACCCCCCAGGTCTTCAGATGTGCCCTGAGCTCACACCGCTGAGGGCTCAGCCGTCCCAGACCCTGCAGCCGACCGGCCTTACGGCTGCCCAGGGCCCCGGAGGATGAGCCGAGGGATCGAGGGTGAGAACGACAATGTGGCATCTGCCTGCTGGGGACACCTTTAGTGATGGGAACTCTGTCCTCTGTTCATCACACAAATGCATCCAAGTCAGAAAAGGTGGTGTCCTTGTAACTTAGGAGCAAGGAGGCAGGTGATCACCCCTGGTCCTGACTTGGTGTTGGCACAGCTGCCCCCAGGGAAGGAAGGGGACTGTCAGTGAAAGGTGACCATGGGCATGCGGCACTGAAAGCAAGTACCCATCAGAACTGGGGGAGAACAGCACCCGAGGTCTCAGAGCGCCCTCCCTGACCTGATGCCCTCATTCCAGAAGCACTTTCAGCACCAGAGAGAGGGATGGAGCCCACGCCTTGTCCCCAGGGAGCTCCAGGCTCAGGGGCAGCCGAACCAGAGCTGCCCCCACACTTGTGAGAACTTGGCCCGAAGGCCTGTCCCTCCGCAGTGGCAGCCTGATGTCAAAACAAGCCACACAGGCCAACGCAAGGTCCAGTTCACAGTACTCTGGGGTCAGGCAATTCGTGAGGCAGGAAGGAGGGTCTGGGAAAGTCCGTGGGAGCACAGGCGTGGGGGACAGACACAAAGGGGGACTCGAGCCCAGGGGCCTCAAGGAGCAGGAAGGGCAGGACAGGCCGAGCTGGACGAGCTGCGCTGACGCCTCAATCCGGACAGATCCCCGGGGGTGTGGTCAGGGTGCTGAGTGCTCTGGAGGCTGGGCTTCGGGAAGGACACCCCGAGATGGAGATGGCTGGGGGAGAGCCACTCCAGGAGTCCCCCCCTCCCCGTAGGGACAAGAAGTGGGGAATAAGCAGGGCCCCTTTACTGTACTGAAGGGTTTGTGAGCACCGGGGTGGGGGAAAGAAGGGAGAGGAGCCTGGAGCAGTCACCTGGAGCCAGACGACAGCAGACTTGACTCTAGGCAAAGACTCAGGCTTCAGTCCATGGGCTTGGGGGGCCCCTGCAGGCTGGGGGCAGTTTTAGAAGTGATGAACTACCTGTTCCCACCCTGCTGCCCCCGTGCTGGGCACGGCATCCCTCTGCTTTGCAATCCTAAGCAAGGTGACGGGGCCACAGAGCAGAGACCCGTCAGCGGCAATGGGCCCACTCTAATCCATCAGGGAGGCCACGTGGGGAAGATTCCTGCTCGGACATGGTGGTAAGGAGCCATGGAACCAGAATTACCTGCAAGAGTCACGCCAGCAGTGAGGCCCCCGCTAACTCTCAGGATGACGGTGCTTGACACCCACCCACTTGACGATTTATAAGCTGCTTTCCCACAGCACCACTGCCCAGAACCGAAACCCACAGAAATCAAGCACCTTGCCCAGGACCAGAGCAGGGCTCATGAGGCTGTGCCCAGTCCAAAGCCGCCAGCCCTTCAACCGCACCCCAGGACGCAGAGCACGGGCCCTTCAACTGCACCCCAGGACGCAGAGCCACGGGCCCTTCAACCGCACCCCAGGACACAGAGCACGGGCCCTTCAACCGCACCCCAGGACGCAGAGCACGGGCCCTTCAACCGCACCCCAGGACGCAGAGCACGGGCCCTTCAACCGCACCCCAGGACGCAGAGCACGGGCCCTTCAACTGCACCCCAGGACGCAGAGCCACGGGCCCTTCAACCGCACCCCAGGACACAGAGCACGGGCCCTTCAACCGCACCCCAGGACGCAGAGCACGGGCCCTTCAACCGCACCCAGGACGCAGAGCACGGGCCCTTCAACCGCACCCCAGGACGCAGAGCACGGGCCCTTCAACCGCACCCCAGGACGCAGAGCCACGGGCCCTTCAACCGCACCCCAGGACGCAGAGCCACGGGCCCTTCAACCGCACCCCAGGACGCAGAGCCACGGGCCCTTCAACCGCACCCCAGGACGCAGAGCCACGGGCCCTTCAACCGCACCCCAGGACGCAGAGCACGGGCCCTTCAACCGCACCCCAGGAGGCAGAGCCACGGGCCCTTCAACCGCACCCCAGGACGCAGAGCACGGGCCCTTCAACCGCACCCCAGGAGGCAGAGCCACGGGCCCTTCAACCGCACCCCAGGACGCAGAGCACGGGCCCTTCAACCGCACCCAAGGACGCAGAGCCACGGGCCCTTCAACCGCACCCCAGGAGGCAGAGCCACGGGCCCTTCAACCGCACCCCAGGACGCAGAGCACGGGCCCTTCAACCGCACCCCAGGACGCAGAGCCACGGGCCCTTCAACCGCACCCCAGGAGGCAGAGCCACGGGCCCTTCAACTGCACCCCAGGACGCAGAGCACGGGCCCTTCAACCGCACCCCAGGACGCAGAGCCACGGGCCCTTCAACCACACCCCAGGACGCAGAGCACGGGCCCTTCAACCGCACCCCAGGAGGCAGAGCCACGGGCCCTTCAACCGCACCCCAGGAGACAGAGCCACGGGCCCTTCAACCGCACCCCAGGACACAGAGCCAAGGGCCCTTCAACCGCACCCCAGGAGGCAGAGCACGGGCCCTTCAACCGCACCCCAGGAGACAGAGCCACGGGCCCTTCAACTGCACCCCAGGACACAGAGCCAAGGGCCCTTCAACCACACCCCAGGAGATAGCACCCCAGAACGCAGAGCCACGGGCCCTTCAACTGCACCCCAGAACGCAGAGCCAAGGGCCCTTCAACTGCACCCCAGGAGATAGAGCCACGAGCCTTTCACCTGCACCCCAGGACACAGAGCCAAGGGCCCTTCAACCGCACCCCAGGAGACAGAGCCACGGGCCCTTCAACCGCATCCCAGGACACAGAGCCACGGGCCCTTCAACCACATCCCAGGACACAGAGCCACGGGCCCTTCAACCACATCCCAGGACACAGAGCCACGGGCCCTTCAACCGCATCCCAGGACACAGAGCCACGGGCCTTTCAACTGCACCCCAGGACGCAGAGCCACGGGCCCTTCAACCGCACCCCAGGAGACAGAGCCACGGGCCCTTCAACCGCACCCCAGGAGACAGAGCCACGGGCCCTTCAACCACATCCCAGGACACAGAGCCACGGGCCCTTCAACCGCATCCCAGGACACAGAGCCACGGGCCTTTCAACTGCACCCCAGGACACAGAGCCACGGGCCCTTCAACCGCACCCCAGGAGACAGAGCCACGGGCCCTTCAACCGCACCCCAGGAGACAGAGCCACAGGCCCTTCAACCGCACCCCAGGAGACAGAGCCACGGGCCCTTCAACCACATCCCAGGACACAGAGCCACGGGCCCTTCAACCGCACCCCAGGGGACAGAGCCACGGACCCTTCAACCGCACCCCAAGAGACAGAGCCACGGGCCCTTCAACCACATCCCAGGACACAGAGCCACGGGCCCTTCAACCACACCCCAGGACACAGAGCCACGGGCCTTTCAACCACACCCCAGGAGACAGAGCCACGGGCCTTTCAATTTCCCCCAGGACACAGAGCAAAAGTGAAGTGACCCTTGTGGCCCTCACGTCATTTAGAAGTGGTGGTTTCTAAGACAAAAGGACGAAATGCCCTGAATGTGACCGAGTCTGGGGCAAGGCTGCCCTCTGCTGGAATTCCAGCCTCACATTTCAGAACAGAAGGAGCTCAAGCCGGAGAACTCGGTAATGCGTTTTCCCACCATTCTTCAGGAAGATTAATTCTGCTTGTCAATAAAACATTAGACCCAGCAGCACCAACCTGGAGTTAATATTAAAGGAGCTGGAAGAAGCCAACATTTTATCTCTAAAAACAATTCTCAGGGTTTTGTCCATATCCTAAAGCACAGCCTCCAACCACACAGAGCAACTCCTCATTCCCGCAGCCTCGCAATGGGGCGGGGGCGGGAGGAGGATGCGCCACTCCCTGCGACACTGTGACAGGGTGAGGCGGGTGTGAAGAAGGGGCTGCTGCAGGGAGCCCCTTTCGTCCCAGAAAGGCCTGAACCCAAGGTGGGCCCTCGGCGAACTTCTGGGAACTTGGATTTCGGGGGGGGGGGGCAGGTGTCCCACCACTCGCAGGACTGATCAGAGTGGCCCCCTGTGCCTAACCCATCTGTACAAACAGAGTGATCGGTGCTGAGCACCTGCTTCACTCCTGGGAGTCTGGGATGCGGCTACATGCTGGCAGAGGGTGCTCACATGACCGGCCCCCAATAAAACCCCAGGCGCTGGGTCCCTACAGAGCTTCCCTGGTGGACAGCACCCCACATGTGCTGTCACCGCCTGTTGCTGGGGGTGGGGTTCAGCACATCCTGTGTGACTCCCCCGGGGGGCTCTGGGAGCTGGTGCCTGGCTCCCCCAGACTTCCCCCCACGCTGTTCCCTGGGCGGATCTTGCTCTGTAACTTCTCACGGTAACAAACCGTGGCTGTGAGCACAGCCACAGACTGAGTCCACAGAGCCGCTAGTGACTCACTGATGTGTGGCGGTCTTGGGGACCCTCGACACAGTGGGGAACAGCTGGTAGCAGCACCTGGACTGAAGATCCAGAACATTCTAAAACCGAGAGAAAATAAAATCCTAGAAATAACAGGATCTCTGGGATCGAGGTACCCAGCCCTGATCTCATGATTCCTTCCACGTATCCCGGGCAAAGGGCCACCCACCACTACTGAAACCTCCGCAGTAATGGCAACCCTGCACCTGGACACGGAGCTCTGCCTGGCGGGGGAAAGATGGGACCGGCTCCAGAGGAGTGCTGTCCGCCTGAGGACCACAGGGTCTCGGCCCTCGCGTGGTTGGGAGGGCTTCCTGGAGGAGGTGACTCGGGGCTGAGAGTCCCAACAAGAAGCGGGCTGTGCAAACAGGTGGAGAGGGAGGAAGCAGCATGAGAGGAGAGGGCGCGTGGCCTGTTCTGGAAAGCGCAGGAAGTTCGGCGGGGCTGGGCGCAGACTGCAAGAGGTCCTGAGAGTGGAGATCAAAGTGCACCACCCTGACGGCAGTGGGAGTCCCTTAAAGGGTTTCCAGGAGAAGAGCTGAACAGGGCCAGTGAAGGCAGCTGCACAACGCTGCTGAGAGTGAGATGGCGGGGGCGGGGTGGGGGGCAGACGCAGGCAGAATGGATGGGAGCTGATGGCCCTCTAGTTCGGATGTGCAGTCTCTGTCCAAGAGGCCTCTCTCCCCCTCTTCCGCGTCCCAGGTCCCTGGATCCTCCCTTCCGCTGACACAGCCAGGGAGGGTGTTAACCTTGCCCCTCCCTGGGAGGGACCCTGCCCAGAATTCATTTAGCCCATGAGAGTGAGTGCTGTCTCTGATCCACTAGAAAAGCCCCCCACTTTGCAGCCGCTGGCTTGATGAGCCCCACTGAGAACAGACTCAGGCACGGGCCACGCACCAGGGCCACGCAGTGACACCAAACCCTAGGGGAGCAGTTCTACCCGAGTATGCCCAGCAGATGAGCGTTTTCAAAATGGTCCTTTAAAAGTGTTTATCAGCCTTAGCTGGTTTGGCTCAGTGATTAGAGCATCAGCCCGCAAGCCAAAGAGTCCCCGATTCGATTCTGGTCAAGGGCACATACCTTGGTTGCTGTTCATCCAGGGTCTTATGGGAGGTAACCTGTTGATGTGTCCCTCTCACATCAATGTTTCTCTCTTCTCTCTCTCTCCCTCCCTCCCTCCCTCCCTCCCACTCTGTCGGAAGATAAATAGAAAAATGTCCTCGGCTAAGGATTTTAAAAAGGTTTTGTTGTGTTTTTTTTTAATGCTTATCAGAGCATTTTTCTTTCAGGAAGGGGAATAACTTACTTAGAGCCATTCATTTGCTGCATTCGAGATCCCACAAAGATCTTCCAAATGCCAGCAAACTCACAAAGCCAGAAACCATGGCAGAAGCAGCAAAGCAGACACACAAGGGGGGTCTAGGAAAGGAAGACGGTCCCAAGAGAGAACACGTCCCCTCTGAAAGAATCAGCATCTCCCGCTCCCTGACGAGGCATCCACAGCCCAGCCTCTCCCATGACCTGGGCCTGGCACCATTTAATAAACCTAAATCCCAGGTGAAGATACTGGTCCTGCTTATCTGACCCTGTTGTCAGAATCAAAAAAAAGTAGGTGAATAGACCACCAACTTACACCATACACAAGAATAAACTCAAAATGGATAAAAGACTTAAATGTGATTCGTGAATCCATAAAAATCCTAGAAGAAAATGTAGGCAACAAAATTTCAGACATCACATGCATTAGAATTTTCACTGATACAATGCCTAAGGCAAGAGAAATAAAGGAAAAAATGAACACATGGAACTATATCAAACTAAAAAGCTTCTGCACAGCAAAAAAAACAAAAAAACAAAAAAACAAAAAAAACAAGCATCAGAATGGAAAGAGAACCCACTATATGGAGAGCCTAATTGCCAACAATGCATCAGATAAGGGGTTAATTTCCAAAATATACACAGTACTCATACAACTCAACAAAAGAAAGACAAGAACCCAATTAAAAAATGGGCAAAGGAACTAAATAGACACCTCTCCAAACAGGACATACAAATGGCTAAGAGACATATGAAAAAATGCTCAACATCACTAATCATCAGAGAGATGCCAATTAAAACAAGAGGTATCACCTCACACCTGTCAGAATGGCCGCCATCAACAAATCATCAAACAACAAGTGTTGGCGAGGGTGTGGAGAAAAAGGGACTCTAGTATACTGCGGGTGGGAATGCAGACTGTGCAGCCACTATGGAAAACAATATGATGTTTCCTCAAAAAATTAAAAATGGAACTGCCATTTGACCCAGTGATCCCACTTCTAGGAATATACCTAAGAACCCTGAAACACCAATCAGAAGTACCCCCATGTTCATAGCAGCACTATTTACAATAGCTAAGATCTGGAAACAGCCTAAGTGTCCATCAGTAGATGAGTGGATAAAAAAGCCGTGGTACATATACACAGTGGAGTACTATGCAGGTGTAAGAAAGATCTCTTATCCTTTGAGACGACATGGAGGGACCTGGAGACTATTATCCTAAGCGAAACAAGCCAATCAGAGAAAGACAAACATCACATGATTTCACTTATTTGTGGAATATAATGAGCAAAACAAGCTGATGAACAAAATAAACCCAGAGACATAGAAGTAGGGTGCAGATTGACAAACCTCCGAAGAGGAGGATGAGGGGAGGGAAGAGATAAAGCACAGAACTTATATGCATGTACGCATGACCACGGACATAGACAACAATGCTGGGGAAGGGAAGGGGAGGGAGACGGGATCAGGAAGAGGATGTCAACGAGGGGAAAAAGGAGAAACATCTGTAAAAAAATAAATTAATAAAAAGAAAGAAATCGGTGAAGTGTTTACCCACCATAAAGCAGCATCATGTTTCTCTTTCCTGCAGACACAACCCGGCAAACACTTGGAGGAGAAGATGAAAGATGTGCTCGCATCCTGACACTCACATCCTGTCACTGCTCGGGGGCCTCCACTCCTAACGAGCACCGTGCTACCACTGGGGTTTTGTGGCCACATCTTACCTTGAAACTGAGGCTTGATTTCCCAGGAGCAGGAGGCAAACCCACCGAACACGTGGCCGTCATGGTCTTCCAGGAGCAGCACGCAGGGCCCTCGGCGAGGGATGCGCCCACAGAGCTGGGAGAAGCTGTGCCCGTGGAGCTCGGACGAGAAGAGCAGATGCCAGCAGGGCTGCTGCTCCCGAGGCAGGTGGGAATTGATATAGATGACTGACAGGATGTCCAGGACGCTGTCAAACTCCTGCCCCTGGTCAACTCGACGCTCGGGGACCAGCGTGGCTAGATCGAGGGATAAGTGCAGGAAAAAGCCTCTGTGGATGACCACGCTCAGGAATGTGGCCACGAGGTGGGCCCTGAACACCCAGTCCTCGATCACAGCTTGGTCACACTCACAGTCCAGCTGCTGAGGCCCCAGCACCTTCTTGCCGTCTGGGGAAGAGGAGAACAGTATCAGTGGGTGATTACATCTCCTTACATCTCCTTATGTCTACTCCCTAAACCTGCGCTGGCCAACATGGGAGCCACGTGTGGCTGCTGAGCACTCGACACGTGACTCCTCTGAATTGAGAGGTGCAGTGAGTGTGAAATACGCACCTGATTTCAAAAACTGGGTATGGAAAATGGAATGGAAAATAGTTCAATCATTCTTTGATTGGCTGATTGCCGATGTTAAATTATATTTTGTTTTATCCTCACCCGAGGACACTCTTCCATTTTTTGTTCAGATAAAGTGGGAAGGTGAGAGAGGAAGACAGAGAGAGAAACATTGACGTGAAAGGGACACATCGAGTGGCTGCCTCCTGCACGACCCAACCAGGGCCTGGGACAAACCGCAACCGAGGTATGTGCCCTTAGCAGAAACCGAACCCAGGTCTCTCTGGACCACAGGCCAATGCTCTAACCGCTGAGCCAAACTGGCCAGGGCTAAATTATATTTTGGACATATTAAAGTCAATTTCACTTGATTATTATTATTTTTATATTATCATTATTATTTGAAATTCTCACCCCAGGATATGCTTAGTGATTTTAGAGAGAGGAGAAGGGAGGGAAGGAGGGGAGAGACAGAGAAAGAGAGAAAGAAATATAGATGTGAGAGAGGAACATCAGTTGGTTGCCTGCCATATACATCCAGACTGGGGCTCGAACCTGCAACCTTTCGGTGCATGGGAGGATTCTCCAACCCCTGAGCCACACTGGCCAGGGCTCTTTTTACTATTTTAATGTGGCTACTAGAATATTTAACACGTGTCTTGCTTTGGTGCTTGAATTTTATCTGTTGGACAGTATGAATCTAAACAATTCAACATCAACCTTCCGCTTTCTCTCCACTCCAAGCTGCACTGCAGAGGCCTGGGAGAGACAGCCATACCCTCAGCCGGGGCCCGGCCCCAAGGCTGTCAGCAAGTGTTCCTGAGAGCACTGCACCAAAGCACTCGCCCAGGGCTCCCGGCCTGCAGTCATCTGGAGAAGATTCAGAAGTGCATTGTTCTCCAGCCAAGTCAGGGTAATGGTTCATACCTTACCGGGCACGACCTCTAGTTTATCAGGAAGAACAGGTTTCATTAACTAAAAAGTGTGCTTAGTTGTTTCGAAGCAGCATCTATAATCCTGTTTTCTATCTCTCACCTACTAAGAATGGAGGTGATATGGTGCTGCTGTAAGAAGACAAACTACTGGGGTGTGTGTGTGTGTGTGTGTGTGTGTGTGTGCGTGCGTGTGTGTAATGTTACTACTCTTTCCAAGTTCAAAATGCCTCACTTACATGAATTTTAAAACTGTACTTAAAAATCCAGCTTTATAATAAAACAGTATTACTTTTATAAAACAATCTCTGTAACTCAAAAAATTAAAAATTGAACTTCCATTTGACCCAGTGATCTCACTTCTAGGAATATACCCTAAGAAGCCTGAAACACCAGTCAGAAAGAATATATGTACCCCGTGTTCGTAGCAGCACTATTTACAATAGCTAAGATCTGGAAACAACCCAAGTGCCCATCAGTAGACGAATGGATAAAAAAGCTGTGGTACATATACACAATGGAGTACTATGCAGCTGTAAGAAAGAAAGATCTCTTATCCTTTGAGACGACATGGAGGGACCTGGAAAGTATTATCCTAAGCGAAACAAGTCAAAGACAAGTATCATATGATCTCACTTATTTGTGGAATATAATGAACATAACAGTCTGAGGAATGGGGTAGTCCCAGAGACGTGGAAGTGGGGTACAGATTGACAATCCCCAGAAGAGGAGGTGGTGGGGGAGAGATAAACCACAGAACTTATATGCATGACCAATGGACATGGACAACAAAGCTGGGGACAGGCTAGGGAGGGAGGGGGAGGAGGGAATTTGTGGGGGGGGGGGAGAAACATCTGTAACAAAAATAAAATAAAACAATCTCTGTTACTTTGCAGAGAGATTTCCCCACAGGTATTTTTAAATGCCAAGTAAATTTAAACATATACTGTTTCTCACTCAATAATAACAAAATTCACATTTTTCTCAAGTGTACATGAAATATTCTCCAGAATAGAATGTAAGATCATAAAACATGACTTGATAAATATGAAAAGATTGAAATCATGTAACATATGTTCTTCAACCACAAAATAATAAAATTATAAGTCAGTAACAGAAGGCAATTTGGGAAATACCCAAACATGTAGAAATTAAATGACACCTGTAAATGACCAATAGGTCAGAGTAGAAATCATAAGGGAAGTTGGAAGTTAAAAAATACTGAGAATGAATAAAAACAAAAGCACAGCATACCAAAACTTATGAGATGCAACTAAAGCAGTGTTTAGAGGGAACTATATAGCCATAAATGCCTATGTTGAAAAAAGAAGAAATCTCAAATCAGTAATCTAATTTTCTAGCTTAAGAAACTAAAAGGACAACCAAACTAAACCTAAAGGAAGCAGAAGGAAGAAAATAAAAGACTCAGGTGAAAATGAATGAAATAGAGATTAGACAAACAAAAGAGAAAATCCACAAAACCAAAATTGGCTCTTTGAAGATATCGACAAAAAATAGACAAACCTTTCGCTGGACTGACCAAGGGGGGAAAAAGAGAGAGAGAGAGAGAGAGAGAGAGAGAAGCCTCAAATGCCTGAAATCAGAAATGAATGTGGGAACATCACTACTGACCTCGCAGAATAAGGAATACAAGGAAATACTACGAACAGTTATATGCCAGCCAATTAGACAATCTAAACAGTCTTTCCAAGGTGAAAGGCTCACGCTTTCTGATTCCGGAACTCGACTGCAAGGCTACAACACTGAGACAGTGTGGGACCACTCCACGCCGCCAAGGTCTCGGGGCACTTGCCTGCAAGCTTCATCTCGGAGAGCAGTTGGGCGGCCAGAACCTGCACCCTGGACGGGGCGCCTGGAGCTTTCTTCGGACTCCAGCCTCTCAGCTCCTGTCTGTGGGTTAGCACGTGCACTACAGAGCCAACGAGATCCTCTGTGAACTGGAAGATTACAATTTTACCATTAATATCATGTCTACCATGACCAGTGACCTGCATCCTAGCAACAAGAGGAAGGGTGTTTTATCTCTTTAATGCCAACCACGATGGCCACAGTGTGGGAAAAGATCGTGTAACTTAGGTAGTTATGCACTTTTCCAATGATCCCCTTGGCTGGTCGGTTTGGCCAAGGCCTTTGTCCAGGAGTTCTGACTTCGACCAGTTACGGGATCTAGGGTTCCCCAAAGGTGGACAGCTCTGTGATGCTTCCACTAGCTGCCTGGTCACCCTGAGCCCCTACAGGAGACTACGCAGGACGGCTGCAGTGGTCCCCAGAGCCTCTCTACCTTTTGGATTTCTCTTGCTTTCACAGGACCATCTGTGGCAGAAATCATTTTCAGGATCATGAGACTCTTATCTTTGGAGTTCCCTTTCAGCAGGTGCGACATCGACACTGTGAACTGCTCCTGGGTGACACTCTCGCTGGGCCCCTTTGCCTGTCCTGTCAGGTCAATCCTCCGCATGCCATCATACAGTCTGGTGACCATCTCGGGGGGAAGGGCTTCCCCAGTGTGGCTCTATCAAGGACAAGAAGGAGAAAAGGTTAGACAGGGTACAGGTTAGACGTGGTAACAAGTGAACCAAGACCAAACACAGCCATGCCACGATGCTTCTACCCGCATGCAGCCTTCCTAAATCCCCACAGGTACCATCTCTCCCCCACCTACGGGCATCACATCCCTCAAAGGCCAACACACATAACGTGTCTTGGCTTGTGGCCCATCTTGGCCATCAGATTCTTCTACAATCTGTTCCCGTATCTCCAAACTTTCCAGTTTCCTCAGGAGGGTCTTGTCATTCCTGCATCTGGCCATCACCTGCTGTTCACTCTGCTGAGGACATCTCCTTCACCCAACGCTGAGAGCTGCCATTCATATCTAAACTTACTAACATATGGTGCCATGTCTATTTGGTCTCTATATTAGGGACTTCCAAATATGTTAGCTAGCTTTCACTTCTTACCTAAGTTCTTTGTGCAGTTTTAATTCATTTTTATTTAAATTTAAAATCTAGCCCTGGCTGGTTTGGCTCAGTGGTTAGAGTGTCAGCCTGAGGACCAAAGGGTCTCAGGTGCGATTCCTGATCAAGGGCCTGTGCATGGGTTGCATTTGGATCCCTGGCCCCGGTCGGGGTGAGCTGAGTTCGGGAGGCAAACAATCGATGAGTTTCTCTCACATCGATGTTTCTCTCTCTCTTTCCCTCTCTTCCTTCCACTCTCTTTAAAAGTCAATGGAAAAATATCCTCGGGTGAGGATTAACAAAACAAAATTAAAACCTAATTCTTAACTAATGTCCTGCCAATAACATTCTGTAAATATTGCTTTCCTTTTGACCAACATCAGATCAGATTTGATCCCAAGTGTGCAGCTATCTGCTCGGAACTAGACGTTAACGGATGTCTTGCCTTTAGCGCCTTCAGAGAAAAGGATCTGGGGGAGGTGTTCGAGCTGCTCTTCGATGACAGGGCATCGAACAATCTGTCCACCTCGTCCTGCTCCGCAGGGAGAAACTGCGAACAGACGCGCTGCCCCAGGTGGCTCCTGCCGTTCCCCATCTCTCCTTACGTCTGGAAGGAGGCTCTGCGGAGGAAAGGGTACCAAGTAAGAGAGAAAAAGCAAAATGGCATAGTCAGAGAAAACAAAGGCTGATGATTATAGGATCAAGTTAATAAATACGGACCTGGTTGCAAAAAGACTGAAACACATCAGAGCTATGTAATGTCATTTCAATGTGGTGGAACTTAATAGTCAATAGAAGTAAGTGTGAAAGCCCAGTCCTGATTGCTGTGACCTCCAAAAACATGCGGAAATCAAATAGATTTCTCGATTTGAAAACACAGTTCCCAAGTTAATGTAGCTAAGAGGTAGAAAAATCAGTATTGTAATCTAAATAATTATTTTTGTTTATTTTTTTTTAATTATTCCTCATCCGAGAATATTTTTCCATTAATTTTAAGATAGAGTGAAAGGGAAGTGGGGGGGGGGGGACATCAATGTGAGAGAGACACATTGATTACCTCCCGATCTCACTCTGACAGGACCAGGGATCAAATCTGCAACCCAGGTACGTGCCCTTGACCGGAAATCAAACCCAAGACTTCAGTCCACCGGCTGATGCTCTAACCACTGAGCAAATCCGGCCTAGGCAAATATGCATTTTTAAAAACCTGAGTTGAAAAAAATCTGTTGCCTGAATGATCACATGTATCTGAATAAAAGCAACACCTTGAAAATATCATGAAGCAAGGGACATGCTGTTGGACAAGTTCTCTGTGGTCGTGGCTCTGCCTCCTACCAGCTGTGCAGCCTTGGGCCAGCTACGGAAAGTCTGTGTCTCAATTTCCACATTTCTAAATAATCACAGCCCTGCCTCAGAGATCACTGTGATCATGAAATTATCCTTCCTGGCCCGTGTGGCTCAGTGGTTGAGCATTTACCCATGCACCAAGAGGTTGCCACTTCAGTTCCCAGTCAGGGCACATGCCCAGGTTGCTGGCTCAATCCCCAGTGGGGGGAAGGGGGCATGAACAGGCGGCTGATCAATGTCTCTCTCATCGATGTTTCTCTCTCTCTCCCTCCCCCTTCCTCTCTAAAAATCAATAAAAACATTTTAAAAATAGTTATCCGGCCAATGAGCTTAGGAGTGTTTGTAGAGACTAGTGCCCCAAAGCAGGTGACCTCTGGTGACCTTTGGTGACCTTTGCTCATTGTCACAGAACCTCATTACAGAAAGGGATCAAACCCCAACAGATCCATGGATTCAAAGAGAAAAGCACAGATGAAAAAAATCTCTTAAGGGGCAAGTGATGTGACTTCTTCATTCTCATCCTGACTTAATTTGGAAACTCACACCAGGGAAATTGCTGGAGACACAAGCACTCCATAAACTAAGTCAGCGCAAGTGGCAACCACTCCCACCAGGACACTGAGGGAGGGACGGGCCACCTCAGAGGGGGGTATAACAGACCACCAGGTCCTGGCTGTTCAAGACCTCAAGGGGAAATGGGGCATGGTTGGGATCTTTTCCTTTTTATTGTGGTGAGAATCATCTAACATAAAATTCACCCTTTTAAAGGACACTACTTACTACAATTAGTACATTCCCTATATTGTGTAAACCACCTCTATCTATTCTAAAACATTTCGATCACACCCCAAAGAAGCTTGTAACCATTGCTAGTCATTCCCCATTCCCCCTCCCCCAGCCCTGGCAGCCGCTAATGTTCTGTCCCCATGGGACCTGTCTACACTGGACTTTTCATGTAAATGGAATCATAGATATGTGGTCTTTTGTGACTGGCTTCTTCCACTCAGCAGAATGTTTTCAAGGTTCATCCATGTTATAGCATGTGTCAGCACTTCATTCCTTTTCATGGCTGAGTAATATTCCAGTGTGTGCCGAAACCACATTTGGTTGATCCATTCATCTGCTGATGGACATTTAGGCTGTTTCTACCTTTTGGACATTGTACACATGTGTTCACAGTAGCACTGTTCACATGTACTTGTTTGAGACCCTGCTTTCAAATTTTGGGGGTACAGACCTCAGAGTGGAATTGCTGGGTCTTATGGTAATCTGATGTTTAACTCTTGAAGAACCACCAAACTGTTTTCCATTTTCAGTTCCCAGCAGCAAAGCACACATGTTCCGGTTTCGCTGTATCCACTCCAACTTTCTTATTTTTTCCGTTATTTTTTATCACTGCCGTCGTGGCGGGGGGCCCATCCGCCCTGAGCAGGACAGCTCCAGCAGAGGGCTCCTGGGAGAGGGACTGTAGCACACTCACTAAGCAGGCTGGAAACGAGGCCTTAACAACCCAGTTTAGGGCTGTCACTCACGGGCCATCTGATCTAAATGCTTCCACTCCTCAAGTTTCTCAGCAGCATAAGAGCCAAGAAGGAAGCCTCGAGGCCTGGGCTCAAGGTCCAGCCTGCAGGAGGCTTTCCTCATCTCTCACACACAGAGGTCAGCACCAGCTGGCCCCTAGTCCCCTCCAGGGGCACAATTCAAGCAGCTGCGCCAAGACAGACCAATCTCTGCCATCAATTCTTCTGAGAGCCCCAAGAAACAACCCGATCGTTCAGGACTGAATTGGAGATGAGGCACCATCACTTGATTTTTAAATACCAATTCCAGCGGAGAGTCAGAAAGAGAGCAAAGCAAAGGGAGAAGGAGGACATGAACATTATTGATTCTGCGGTTTATTTCCTGTGTCCTGTGCGCTGTATGCATTATGAAACATCCTAAGGCAAAGCTCGGGAGAAATCACAGTAGAAAATATGTCCATGTCTGCCCTGGCTGGTTTGGCTCAGCAGTAGAGTGTCGGCCCGCGGACCAAAGAATCCCGGGTTCGATTCCGGCCAAGGGCACATACCTCGGTTGCAGTTCATCCCTGGCCCAGGTTGGGGTCGCGCGGGAGGCAACCAATCACTGTGTCTCTCTCACATCGATGTTTCTCTCTCTTCTTCCCTCTCTCCCTCCTCCTCTATCTAAAGATAAATGGAAAAATATCCTTGGATGAGGATTAAAAAAAACAAACAAGAAAATATGTCCATGCCCACTAGCTAAAGACGAGCAAGAAGGTGCATTTCCAAGTGGCTGCAGTGAGTAAGTGTGGGGGTCTCGGCAAGGGCTTGGGATGGCATCGGGGCTGCCTTCTTGGAAGGCTCAAAGAAAGGAGGGTTCAGCCTGGATTGGGTGCAAGTCAGCGACTGGGTGTCTCCATCATTTTTAACGAAGATGCGGGAAGAACAGAAAGGGGCTGGAGTCATTAGGACAGACACTGCCCTGCTCCTGTTTACCAGCAAAGGGGGTGGGGCTACTCGGGAGCTTGCACAGTGATCATCTCTTTGCACAGCGATGCCCTGCTTTTGCTTTGTTTGGTCACAGCGTTCCATGTCTCACTGGTACGCCATGGCAACTTCCGTCAAAAGTATTTTTTTGATTCAGACTCACTACCGCACACACACATACCACCCCCACTCTACAACCGGGGAAATTCAATTCACCCAAAATCTGTGTCAATGTATCAGTCACCAGAAAATTTGTCATACAACTCCCCCCGCACCCTGTCTTGTTATTCTGCGGAAATCCCGAAAATGGTAAACGTATGAAAACGCAGGCTGATGGAGTCAATTCATTCTTAGAGAGGGTCTTCATACCAAAGGTCCTGCTGTTTCACCTCCTCTAGAAAACCTGAAGGTGTGCGTGACACGAGAAGGCCCGTGACGTACCTAAACGCTGGAAGAGCCGACGATCCTCCCGGCACCTGGGAAGGGAAGGTTTTTGAGACGTTAGCCGGCTTCACCTCCAAGTTCAACTCTCGAGGCTGAGCCCACCGCGGGCAGGCTCCCGAGGCCAGCCTCGCAGATGTGTGGTCCACTCAGAGCACCGGTTCTTTCCTGCCCCTTGTTGGGCTCAGAGCCCCCCCCCCCCCAGTCCACCTTGCACATCTCACCACCATTCTCAACTTTCAGGTTCCGAGACCACCCAGCATGTGTGACTTTCCTAGAACTGACTGTTGCCTTCACTGAAATGGAGACAGGCCCATCCTTGCTTATTCTGCTTGGCCCCCACCCCCACCCCCAGGTTCATGCCTAACCAGTTGGCTAGAATGTGAAAGTCACAAAAGAGACTCTGCCCCATAGCCACCTAGTGACCCAGCCATCTCCCACCTCCTTGTGGGTGCCCATGTGTAAATCCCAGGAGGCTGGTCCGGCCCAGGTCCCGAGAAGGCCCAAAACCCCACGTTCAGCTCCCACAGCACTCAGCAGCCCCTAAGATCAGTGCCGCTCTCTCTACCATTCACGACGGGCCGGCTCCAATGGGCCTCAGCCCTGTACCCCACAGCCCACCAGGCCTAGACCATGGCCGGGGCTAGCATATATAAGGAAGCCATTCGTCCCAGCCCGAAGAACAACACAAACCCAGAAGCCACCAGGGAGAGCCCACAGCAAGGACGGGATCGCCTTATGGTGCCACCTCTGACTTCTCCTTAACAGAGGAGGACTTCGAAATGCTGCACCTCAGATTCCCAGAATCCTGAGCAAGCTTCCTCCCTGTTCAAAAACAAGGAGTTGCTCACCCTCTGTCCTGACTGGAGCTAACAGGCCACCGACATTAAACGCCATGCCCCAGACGTTTCCACCTGCCCCATGATTGAGGAATCGGTCTACCGAGGGGTTGTGCCACTAAAGGGCCACAGGTCCCAGCTCCTGCAGGACACTTCCTGATGTCAACCAATGCATCTATTTCTTCAATAGTTAGCTCAGCATCTCCTGGGCTAGGCCCACCAGAGAGCAGGTGACAGAGAGGCCTGGGCCTGCAGGACCAGCCTACTTAACAGGGAGAGACAGACCAGTGGGGGAGGGTCAGTGGGGATCGGGGCAAGAAGAACACACAAGTCAAGACATGTTCTGGCTGTGCCTTCGGGCACCCACAGGTGATTCACCTGGGAAGTGGCGACTGCACACAAAGGTGTGGGGTGAACATCAAGATCAGTGAAGTGAGGTCTGGTGTAGGGAAGGTACCAGAAGGGGCTACAGAGCAAGGTGGTGCTTGTCTGCCCCTCACTTCCGGCCCACCCCACCTCCTCCTCTGTCCCACTAGAAATAGGTTCCTCCACTGTTGTCTGAAAACAAATCAGTAGAGAGCAGCCCGGCCAGACTTGCCCAGTAGCCAAACACCGAAAAAAGAACAGGCTGGGCGAGCAAGCAGCCAAGGCAGGGCAGAAATGCACAGGAGGTGCAGACCATCAGCACGGGGGTGGGCACAGGGCAGCGCCAGGAGGGCACCAGGATAGCCCAGAGGCAACACCAGTTTTTCTAGTAGGAGAGAGAAGGGTGTGTAGCAGCCTCCAGTAGGAGCTTCAGGCCCCTGGGAGGAGGGGCAGCCTCTGACAACATGCCCCTACCCCCGCCCCATTCTTAGTCTGCAGGGCACAGGTGAAGGGACACATCTCAAAACAGCCCAGGGACGCCCTGGCCGGTTTGGCTCAGCGGTTAGAGCGTCGGCCTGCGGTCCACAGAGACCCGGGTTCGGTTCCCGCTAAGGGCACGTACTTCGGTTGCAGTTTGTCCCCGGCCCTGGTTGGTTACGCGGGTGGCAGCCACTCAATGTGTCCCTTTCGCATCGATGTTTCTCTCTCTCTCTCTTCCTCTCTCTCCCTCCCACTCTATCTGTACAAAAAATAGGAAAATGTCCTCGGGTGAGGATAAAAAAAAAAAAACAAAACAGCCCAGGGACAACCCCACCTCCTTTTATTTATTTTTTAAAATATTTTTATTAATTTTTTCTTAAGAGAGAGAGGAAGGGAAAGGGAGAGAGAAACGTCAATGTGAGAGTGAAACAGATCAGCTGCTCCTGCACACCCCCCACCAGGGATCGAGCCCGCAACCTAAGCATGTGCCCTGCTTAGAGAATCAACTGGCAACCTTTCGGTGGTGCACAGGATGACACCCAACCAACCGAGCCACGCTGGCCAGGGGCCCACCTCCTTTTAAAGAGCTTCTGCAAGGCCAAATGAAGTAATGGCAATGGTACAAAGTGTTCCCCAGTTCATGCATCCTAGCCTCGATTGCTGTAACCATGCCAGGAATCCTTTAATCAGTTCTGGAAAGGACCTGAAGGTCTTCGATGCATCCTTCTCCCCCAAATGCAAGTCCCTGGGCTTTCTTTCAGTCCCCAGCAATGGCTTTCTCACGGAATTGTCCCAGGTGCACCTCACCAAGCGGGACAGACTTTTTCCTGGCAAGTTGTACATACAACCACCCTCCACTGGCCTGAGTCTCCTGTGGGTTGCCTGTATCAAGTTCTCTTTCAGGAGGACACACCTCAACATTACTCTAAGATTCTCACACCAGTAGTTCTCAACTGGGGACAGTTGTGTCCTCCAGGGGACATTTGGCAATGATTTTTTTTATTGTCTCAGCTGTGGGGGGGGGGTCGCTGCTGGCCTCTGGTGGGTAGAAACCAAGGGTACTGCTAAATATCCTACAATGCACAGGGGCCCTCCCCCACAAAAAATCACCTGGCCCCAAATGTCAGTAGGGCAGAGGGTGAGAAACTCTGGCTTCCAAGGATGCGGGGCCATGGGGCAGAGTGGGAGAGTCCACACTGAACTGCCCCGAGTCATATTTAAAACACTCGCCTCGCCCTGGCCGGTTTGGCTCAGCGGTTACAGTGTCGGCCCGCGGACCAGAGAAATCCGGGTTTGGTTCCCACTGGGGGCGCGTGCCTCGGTTGCAGTTTGGCCTCGGTTGGGGTCGTGTGGGTGGCAACCACTCAATGTGTGTCTCTCACATCGATGTTTCTCTCTCTCTCTCTCCCTCCCTCCCACTCTATCTGATGATAAATGCAAAAAAAAAAAGAAAGAAAAAGAAAACACTCTCCTCTCAGCACAGGGGCCCCAGCTCTGAAGCAATGGTTTAAGCAAAGATGGGCAGATCTGAGTTCCACTTCTGACACGTGTTGGTTCTATGACTGGGGGGCAAGTTACCAGGCCTTTCTGGATCTTAGTGAAATGGAGGAAGTGCCACCAACCCTGTAATGAGGTGAAAAGGATTAAATGAGGTAACATAGGGCATTTAATTCCGATTTCTGGAGCCAGAGACAAACAGATGAGCCCACAACAAGGAAAGGTTGAGTTCTTGCCTTGGAACAAGAGAACAGCCCAGCTTGGAAAGAACCAACTCCTGCTGGGGAGGGAGCCAGGAGCCCTTTATGCCCGAAAGGCATCCTAGGACAGCTCCAGTCAACCCCTTCTCGGAGCCTCTCCAACTGGCTCCTGGCTGGGGATGCTCTCCACTCTAACCCCCAACCTCTAAGGGGCCACTGTCCTGAGAGAGGTGACCTGACCTCAGGAGCCCCTTTCTGGGGAGAATCCAACCGCCTCATCTGGACAGAAGCATTTCAAGCCCTGTTTATGTCCCAGAACCAGCAGCCCTTCTACAAAAGGTCAACTTGAGCCTGAGCCAGCCTTCAGGCAGCAGTGTCCCTGCTGCCGGCAGGAAGGAAGGTGACCTGTCCTGCCCATGGCTGGCTTCCTCCCTCCAGAGAACCCCTGACTCATCTGCCAAGGGGTCAGCCTAGTGGGCGCTTCCTTTTTCTCCCCCCTCTTCCCTGAATGTAGTGATCAGACTCAACTAACCTGGGGAAAAGCTAGTAGGTTGTGATCAGAATACAAGAAGAAAGGTCCCTCCTGGCCCCTCCCCACACAGACATTCTACCACAACCCCCGTGACTCCTCCTCCTCCTGCAGATGCTCCTGGCCCCGCCTTCCAGACAGCTGGCCTCGACCCCGGGGATGGAACCTCCTGGGACTCTCTTATCTCCAGCACACGAAAGGCTGAAGGTGCGGGGCGATTTTGTGCTCTAACCACACGGAAAGACTCTCCATCCCGCCAGCTGTACCCCCAGCGCCCCAACCTTCCCCCACCTAGGGGCCGGAGGAATGGGCAGCCAAGGAGGAGTAGGGCCCGTAAGACTCCTTTGCTCCCAGGACCAGGGCCATTGCCCCTCGTCCCTACCCCTGCCTCCAGGCCACTGGGCCATCGCCTCAAGCCCCTGCTCGGCTCACCTCTGTCCTCCGTCATCACCGAACTGGACTCGCCTTCCGGTAAAGCAGTCTGGCAGTCAGGCAGACGGAGGATTTTGCCCCGTAGCTGCCAGACGCGTTGCCAGGCGACAGCGCTGACGGACGTCTACCTGCAGCAATTGCAGAAGTGAAGGCTGAGGGGGCGGAGTCCTATAGGGGAGCCAGCCAATGGCAATTTAGTTTCTGAGGGGTGGGCGGGTCTGGCGGGTAAGGGCCGGGCCATGGACTGGGCGGGGCTGGGAATGTAGGTGGGACCAGCGGCAGCTGCAGGCAGGAAGCTTTGGATGGGAAGGAGGTGGGGCAGCTGGAGTAGGACCTGGGAAAGGGGCTGAAGACAGGGAAAAGCTGGTGATTCAGGGGAGAAGCCCACCTGGGGAGGGATCAGGTGTCTGGACTGCAGTAGAGAACAGTCACTGGTCTGTGGGAGAAGCAGGAGTATGGCTGGATGGGGTGTGGCCGAGAAGGGGGTGCGGCCGGGAAGGGGTGTAGTTAGAGGTGTAGCTAGGAATGAGGGTGTCAGCTGAGAAACAGGCTGCGTGTGGGGGTTGAAGATAACCCGGAAGAGGAGAGTGGGCCCACGTGGAGACATAGCTAGAGAAAAGAGAGGCAGGTAGCCCAGCTGTGGGACCCTGCACTGCTTAGGCCCCCCTAACTCTCCTCTGACACCCCTCACTCCACACCACTGGTTCTTGGCCAGGACTCCCCTCCTGCCTTGAAGAAACTAGAGCCTCCTAACCAGAGATTGGGCTCCTGCCTCTCTCCGCAGCCCACCCCTGACCTTCCCTGGTGACCAAGTCCTGCTTGCATTCTCTCCTGTCAGTCCTTCCCAGTAGCCTGTAAATGTGCTCAAGTCCAGTCTTGCTAAGTAAACTTGCCTTGACCCCCATGCCCTTCTCCAGCTAGTACCTACCCTGCCTTCATTGCAAAATGTCTTAAAACTGTTGTCTCCATTTCATCACCTCTGTTCAGTCCCCAAACCACTGAAACCTGGCCCCAGGGAACCTGTCACTAAATCCAAAGGGCCCTTTCAGCCCTGATACGCAGTGGCTCCCAGTTATCATTCTGCCTCCCTATTAAAGCTCTCCTTCCCGGGCCTCTGGGTCCCTCAGTTCCTGGCTGTCCTGCCCGTCTCTCCCTGTAGTTTTCACTCAGTCTATCCTGGCTTCTGCTGTCCTGGATTTCCTCACGCTGCTCCCTGTAGACATCTCCTCTTCTCACCCCACGCATCTTCCCCGAGACAGCAGCCTTCCTCATGGCTTCAACGCCCACCTCTCTGCTGTGCTGGCCCCCAAACCTGCATGTCCTGCTGGTCTTACAGCCTGCACTCTAACAGGTATGCCCAGTTGTTGATCAGACATCTCTACAAGGCTGCATGTCCGATTCAGCTCAGCTGAACCCAAATGCACCCTCTTCCCTCCAGAAACTGCTTCTCCTGTTTACCCCCTTCTTAGTGCAGGTACCACCTTCCATGCCCGAGTCAGACCTGGAAGCATCCTGGATGCCTCCTCCTCCCTCTCCCCCCATGTTCCATTATGTACTGAATCTGTTTTACCTCCAAGATATGTCCTGCATCCCCCTCACTTCCCTATGTAAGTCCAAGTGAGACCAAAGTAATGGCCTCCTTCCTGGTCTCTTTGCCTCCTTCAACCCAATCCCCTTACTCAACACAGACTTGTCCTGCCCCCTATGCTGAGAAAACATCTTAGTGCCCTGGCCCATACATCAGGCAAAAATGACAGACACAAACAGAACCAGCTGCAGCCCTGGCCAGTGTGGGTCAGTGCATCTGGCATCATCTGGTACACCAAGAGGTTGCTAGTTTGAACCCTAGTCAGGGCACATGCCTGCGTTGCAGGCTCGATCCCCAGTAGGGGGTGTGCAGAAGGCAGCTGATCAATGTTCCTCTCTTCCTTTCCCTTCATCTCTCTCTAAAATCAATTAAAACATTTTTTTAAAAAACAGCTACCACGTCGGCCTGCGGTCCGGAGAGACCCGGGTTCGGTTCCCGCTAGGGGCACGTACCTTGGTTGCAGTTTGTCCCCAGCCCTGGTTGGGTCGTGTGGGTGGCAGCCACTCAATGTGTCGCTTTCATGTCGATGTTTCTCTCTCTCTCTCTCTCTCCCCCTCACTCTATCTGAACAAAATATCGAAAAATGTCCTCGGGTGAGGATTAAAAAAAACCAAACAGCTACCAAGTTCAAGGACCAGTATTTCTCAAGGACACCCAGCTGAAGCTGTAGTGTTACAACAACACCCTTTTCAAAGTAATGACTGTTTCACTCGAAAAGAACTTTGACCTCTAAAATCATACATTAGCAGAAACTTTGCTGTTTGAAACTCCCAGTAGGAACGAAACCCCCAGCTCCCTCCTGGAGTATGTAAGTCACTTTGCCAGAAAAGAGCCTGGCTTTCCAGCGCAGGTGCAGAACACAGCATCCTGACACAGCGTCATGGACACAACATTCCATAGCTATCTTGACTTGGTGGTTCCCAAGGGAACAGGAGCCAGGTCCACTGTGCAGCCCACACCAGACACTGGCCCTTCACACATGACCCTGCTTTGACCAGATCCTTTCAAAACACTGCTTCGTGTCACCTCACCCTTCCACAGAATCCTATGAAAACCCTTCACCTTTGCCAGGTGAGCTGCCCAGGGTTCCTGATACAATAAGCTAACACCAGATTTGTCAGACTATGGGCTTGACAAAAAGCACAAAGGCAGGCTGTCCCTCCAGTTTGCAAATACGCATTGAGCACCTACCACATGCCAGGCGTTGGCGACACAGCAGTGAATGACAGAGCCTCTGCTCTCATCCATCCCTGCTCCTTGAATGAGTCAGCAAATGATGATCAGATCACAGGGAGAAGGTGGTTGGGGGCTAGCCGTGGATGAGAATTTTGGGGAAGTTCCAAGGAACAGAACATGAGGACAGTGCGAGGCTGGGAGGCTGTGCAGGGAAACAGGTGGGAGAGGGAGGAATACACAGGCGTTCCAGGCTTACGAACCCAGGCCATCTGAGCATGTCCTTTGCTGTGTCAAGGGTCTCCTGCCTTCCAAGCTCTTTCTACCCACCTTCATCCCCACCCCGCCTGCCAATCAGAGGTTCCTGGCCATTTTCCAAGTTGGAACGAAGAGGAGAGCCCCTTCCGGCCCTGCCCCAGGGCTGAGCCTAGCTGATGACAGCTCTCTAAGGCACAGTCCCTGGGCCCTCGCAGAAAAGTGGTCTGAGAACTGAGCCCATGGCCAAGGAGAAGCAGCTCCTTGGGAGCAAAGTGTGCTAACGCCCATGCGATGAGAGTGAATGACCCAGCCCCTCAGCGTGGCTCCTCGAGTTAGGTTTCTGTCACCCACAGCCACGGTAGCAGTGTGCTCGTGTACTTCGCGCGCACAGCCTTGTGTACACTTCCAGCAATGCTCAAAGCGGTTGCCTTCTGACTTCCTATAGGCTGGAGCACGCCCAGGGCAGATGGGGGCAGTGGGCCGTCCCAGCGGCAGGCAGGGGGAAGCCAGGGAGGCAGAGTGGCCTGGCTTTAGGTTAAAACACAGTAAAGCCAACTAAAACTCCATCTGCTTTGTATCACCAAGAGCCAGCAATTCTGAGCAACACCAGTGATATAATTCCCTTCCCTGCAAAAGCCCTGTACAGTGACCCCACCCCTTATCTTGGGGGTGCACATTCCAAGACCCCCAGTGGATGCCTGAAACCACAGATAGTATGAAACTCACTATATGTTTCTTTTTTTTTTTTTCCTTTACTGATTTGAGAGAGAGAGAGGGGAAGGGAGAGGGAGAGAGAGATAGAAACATCGATGAGAGAGAACATCGACTGGCTGCCTCCTGCATGCCCCCCACTGGGGATCGAGCCCACAACCTGGGCATGTGCCCTGATCGGGAATCGAACCGGCGACCTCTTGGTGCATGGGTCAAAGCTCAACCACTGAGCCACACTGGCCAGGTTATTATGTGTTTCTTTATACACACAAAAATACCTATGGTCAAGTTTAATTTATAAATTAGTCATAGTAAGAGATTAACAATAACTAATAATAAAATAGAGCAATTATAAGGATATACTCTAATCAAAGTTACGTGAATGTGGCATCATTAAGGGAAATAAGGGTTACTTGAACTCAAATACTGAGCCCCCTCAACAGTCAATCTGATAACCAGAAGCTACTAAGTGACTAACGGCGCGTCGATGGCCTGAAGACGCTGGACAAAGGGATGATTCACGTCCAGGACAGGACCCAGCAGGTCAGCGAGAAATTGCATCATGCTGCCCAGAACTGCGAGCCATGTAAAACACATGAATTGTTTATTTCTGGCATTTTCCACTTAACATTTTCAGAGTGGGGTTGACCGCAGGTAACGGAAATCTCAGAAAGGGACACCGCGGATAAAGGGGGGACAGCTATACTGGTGTCAGCACTAAAGCTGGGGCTGGGAGGCTTTTTCTGTGAAAGGCCACAGGGGAAACACTTTAGATTTTTCAAGCTGCATGGCCTCTGTCGCAACTCAGTTCCGCTGTCATTGCACAAAAGTAGCCACAGACGATACACAAACAAGTGAACATTTCTGTGTTCCACCGTGACTTTATGGACACTGAATTTCACATAATTGTCACACGTTGTGAAATATTATTTGTCTTTTGACTTTTTCCCATTTTTAAAATGTAAAAATCATTCTGAGCTCACTGGTTATACAAAAACAGGCAGCCAGTTGGATTGGCTTTGTAAGCCACGGTTTGTTGGCTTCTGTTCTTAGCAGTTACTGCTGTTACTGTTGTATTGTAATCATATTTATATAAGCTTCAAACTTGTACATTTTTATCAGTCCTCGGACCAAAGGGTCACAGGTCCAATTCCTGGTCAAGGGCACGTAGGTTGTGGGTTGCAGGTTTGATCCCCGGCCCAGTCAGTGTCGCGCAGGAGGCAACCAATCAATGTGTCTCTCTCACATTGATGTTTCTCTTTCTCTCTCCCTCCCTCCCTCCCTTCCTTCTGCTCTCTCTAAAAATCAATGGGAAAACATCCTCAGGTGAGGATTACCAACAACAACAAAAGTACGTTTTTATTCATATCTTTTA